GAGGTAAGGGGTCACACAGGTCTTCGTTGTCTCACCACGCAGATTTAAACATGGAGGCACCTCATTGGCTGCTACAAGGAAGCCTCATCGTGTTCAAATCATCACAGCTGGATGAAATTTCCATGATCATCCAGCTGTTTGCTTGTTTTAAATGCTAAATACTTAGTTTGTTACATTTGAGGCCAAATTATTTTTCTTGACTGCACAGCAACTTTATTATTGGTCACATTAAAAATTCACCCAAAGGCTCCAGCAGGACACAATCTAGTACAACTTCAGGTAAACTACTGACTTCCTCTAAAAACAGGAAGAGGAAGACGGGGCTATAAACACACATGACAGGTGAGAACAATCTGGGCGAGGCGGACGATCAAAAAAAAAAAAAGGAAGTAAAATTAACAGAAGACACTGAAAGAAAAATGTAAAACAGGAAATAAACATTAGCCAGCCAACGCTGGAGAAAACTAACATGATGGAGCTGCAGAGAGAAACAGAAAAGGGTGGAGGCCGGACCTCGCTGGAGGGCGAGCAGCAGCAGAGCCTGACGGCTGGTCCTGAGGAGACGTCTGACAGGTTTGGTGCAGGAACAGATGCTGAGGTCACATCTGGTGGTTGAGGAACAGGAAAACTCAGACTTGCACGCCGCTGTGATCCAGGAACTCAGGAGGGGAAATATCAGATGAAGCTCAATAAAAAACAGAAGAACCAAAAACTTACAGACTACAACACTTAAGTAAATAAAACTGACACTTAATGAGACGGTTAACGTGTTTATATCTGCTGTAAAGTTTAACGTGGGAGTCCACGGGGACCGACTCGCTGCTGGCGCCTCTAGTGGACTTTATAAGAACTGCAGGTGTATTTGTTTTGTTTGTACCTTACTTCCTACCTCAGCGTGCTAATAATGTGTCATCAGTGTGTGCTCCTCCTGACAGTAAGCCATTATTTTGATGCTTTCTTCCTCAGATAAACCCTCTGAAGTGCAGCACTGTGGTGCAGCTGTACCGCACCCCGACATACAGCTGCTACCCCAGAGACTCATGGGCCGCTCTGGTCAAGAAGCTGTTTGTCGGGGAGCTGATTTATCCCTGGAGACACAAAAGCACCAAGGTTGACTGAGAGAGAGCCAGAAATGCGATGGAGGAAGAGGAGAGACGAGGGAGTGGAGGAAAGGGAAGAGACTGAATAAATAAAGAGATGGAAACGGACAGGAAAAAGACAGACGACCTTCGGGAGATGGTTTTATATTTGATGGGAAGAGCGTCACAGAGAACATCGCCTGAAGCTGCCGACTCATCGCGTCTACAGCTTTCTGTTCAGCCTGAAGCTGGATGATGAATATTTGAGCTCACACGGATACCAGAAACAGGACAACCAGCAAATAGTCACATCCTGCTGGTGTTGGTTTAAGAGCTGTGGGCATAAAAACACTCGAGGAAGCTCTTTCACTCTTTCAGAGTAAAATTCAACTAACCTGATTGTTCCTTTGACTTTACAGATTTACATTTTTATTTGTCATTATAAAAGACTTTATGTTTAAGGAAGAACAACAAAACTGGACCAAAACAACTCCTGTACGAGCTGTGATCAGCCATAAAAAGTAACAAACACACGTCTAATTCTCTGTTTGGTTTTTGTACAGTCACTTAAAATAAAGTTCCCCCTCCAAACTGTAGAACCACTTTAGCAGCAACTAAACTTGAGGAAACTTAAATTCTTTCATCAGTCTCACATCACTGTGGAGGACTTTTGGACAGATGTGTGCCACAGCTGCCCTGGTTAATCCACCAGCATGCACCAAGGCTTCAATCAAAGTCATGTTTTTAATGAGAAAATCTAAATATTGTTCTCTTGTGTTTATGGCGAGTGGTACATTTGTAAAGCACCTTAAAGGAGCTTTTTAAGAATGACCTGATCTTGTTGTTTTGTGTTAACGTGAGTAAAACTGTGGAGCCGTAAACTGTTCGCCTTCAGTGCAGACACACAAACTCGATCAAATGGCTCTTTATATTAACCAACTGCACTGAATATGTTAATAGCTGGAATCTTTAATCCTTAAATAATTGTAACCAGAAATGTTTTTTTAAATTATTTTGATGTCTTTTACGTGTCTGTTTTTAACCTGAGAGCGATTTAGTCTAAATGAAATAATGAATGTTCTTCTTCCACTCACTGACTCTGCACGTCTGTTACAGCCGTGAAGTCTGATTTTTGTCGTTCATTTTAAATGTAATGTGCCTGTTTTGTTATGTCTGATCAAACCTTTTGACTAAATTCAGCTTTTCATTAAACGTTGGGGAAAATCCAGGATTCTGAGCACGTCCTTCCTCCTCTGGTGTTCATGCTGAGTCAGCTGGAACATCACAACATATGTTTATTGTTTTCAAACAATAAACAATGGAAAGTTTAGAAAAATAAGGTGACAAATTATTATATCATTACATACAGTGTATATGAGTGGCAACCAAACAGCAGAGAGACTTTATACTAATGAATGTTAACTCAGCTGACATCGTTAATGTGGCACGTACTGATGATGTCCTCACTGCTGCTGTCTTTGTGCTTAAATACGTCGTGGGGGAAAAAAGACTGCTGAGGTAAAGAGAGAGTTTTATTTAAATGTCATTTCCATTACGACACTTATGCTGAAATTTGACGTGGATACACACATGCTGGTTATTTTCTATCAGGTCCTCGAAATTTCTTCTTATTGTATTTTGAACATGTAAAAATAACAACACAAAGAGGAAAAAAAAGCACAAACAAACAATTAAATAATAATAAAGATGCTAATGATGAGAAGCATAATAATAATAACATTCAAAAAGAAGTAAGAAGAAGCATTAGCTTAATTATCATGTCCCTTTTCACTTTTTCTTCCTGTGTATTCCCCATCATATCATAAATACTAGCTTACAATTTGCATTTGGTTTTAGAGCCCCACTAACACGCCGATAGTTATACATATTTACAGATATATATACACATATACAGACTTATACACACATCCTTGTGCTTTACAAAAATCATATTTTTCAACCACTTTTTAAGCAGAGTGATTCTGGGACGTTGCTTCGGTGCATCACTCAGCGTGTTTCACAGCTTCAGTTCACACACAGAGGCAAAAACCTTTCTGCTGTTGCACAGATACAGGGATGTCTCAAAAGTAGAATATTGGGTTTGTACGACCTCCGTATCCAGTATTAAGCATTATCATTATGATGTTCATTTTGTAAGCTTTGGCCCCATTAGAGTAAACAAGCATGATAAAGCAGGGTATCCTGTAGCATTTATGGGGAAAACACCCTGTAAATGACCGTAAGCTTTTCAGAATAAAAGCACAGCTGTTGAAGACGCATAGAAGACTTTTCAGTCAGTGTTTATTTCCACTGCATGAAAAGTATAAATATGATCCATCCCAGATGTAAATACACTTTAATCTCTATTTTATCTTAGATTGCCTCATTCAAGCTGCTGCTGCCAGAACACTTCATTAATTATGCGTGTAGGTGTTCTTCCTCAGGAGGCTGAGGCGAGAGATGAGTCATGGTGCTATAAAAACAGGCCTGACACACATAATCAAACACACTCTCAGCCCACTACTGTACATCACATTTCATAATATTATTCCTACCGTGGTTACACAACATGAATTATATTCTGGGAAATGGTCCAAATGTATTTTGCTCCCCTACGACAGTGAAAACTGAAAAATGATCAGTAACAGGGCAGATTATGACACTCTCCACAAACATTTCGCTTTCAGTTGTTATTGTTTTAAATACTCTTTGTTTATAGGAAATGTAAAAAACTGCGTGTTTTATGAACAGTCCAGCATTTCAGGGAGTTTTGTCTGATGAGTCACATGAAAGATTTGATGCAGTTTTTCATGTCTTTTAATCTGAGTTTAGCCTGTTTTGTCCGAAAATAATCAGAGATTAAACTGAGCCGATTGTCTTTTTTCATACAGAAGGCAAACGGGATTTCCCCAAATCCCCCCATAAAAACGATTTTACACAAATATACGGAGGCCCTAAAGTGCCAATCAAATACCTAATGAATAAAAAAACAGAAAAGGATGTGAATTTTGGTGCATAAACCCAGCAACACATGATGGTGGCAGAATTACAACACATGTTATTAAATGCAGCAAGATGAACATTAACTGTAAGTTACTGGATTGATTTTCCTATTTATTTACTTTGGTGTTTTTCTATTTGACCCCATTCATTTATTTGATTTTCTAAGTAACAAAACACAATAAATACACAATAAATAATATAATACTTTAAATATCTAGTGGTAGTGTCTGTTCTTATCAGACACATTTCACTGTGTGTTGTGCTTGTATGACTATGCATGTGAGAAATAAAGAATCTTGAATCTATATAATATTCCACCTTCCACTTAGTAAAAAAAATACTTTCTATTAAAAATATCTTACATATCTTCTCTTTATAGTTTTGCTGAACTGCTGAACCGAATAAACAAAGAAATAAGTGGTGGAATGAAGAGAAAATATTAATACATAAATAAATAAGTGGTATGGTGTTATTTATGCATTCATATATTTGTTTATATATTTTTTTACTCTTTAACCTAATTTCGTTCATATTCATTTTCCTATCGATTTCTTTTTCATACTGCAGTCTGCACGCACTGAAAAGAATACAGAAGTATACCGTTTATGCATGTATTTATTTCTCGTCCTTCTGCTTGTTTCCTCGGTTATTTTCTGTTTTTCTCACTGACGGGGCGCAGCTTTGATTTGATCCAGTTTATCCCACGTGATGAGAATTTTCTGCCTTTGTTCTGTTTACACTCACAGAGAAATGAATCATCTTTGTTGTGCACATTCTCCCTCAGCGCCATCTGCGCGGCGTTGACAGCACGCGTTGATGGGTATTTCCATTGTCCAATGGAAGCCGCGGCTCGTGTCAGCGCGGACCCAATGGGCGGGGCGATGTTGTGGGTGGGCGGGGACAGCAGAGAGCACGGATCTGTCAGCGCTGAACTCGGTCAGTCGTCGCTGTATCCGCGAGCAGCACTGAGGGGCTTTATGTGTGGTTATGACTGAGGATAATGGAGAAAAATGGAAACAGCACGGACTGAGATCACTCACAGAGATTTGGACTGGACGTAGATGCTCCGCGGCCTTTTGATTCCGCCACAGATGTGGGAATTTTCTGGATTACAGTGAAGTTACTAGAATCTTTGTCATCTCGGTCTGAAGAAAGCCATCCAGGCGGCCTGAAATCACTCAGACTCCAGCTGAAGCCCAGCCGCGGTTAGCTGCCTGTTACAAAGCAACATCGTTGTTTTATTCTGTAGAAAGTTATTCAATAAGCTAAACCTGTGCATGGCTAAAATCAGCGCTTTGGTGTCGTTATATGATTACTGTTTTAGCAGTCTGGGATAGCAGCAGCAGGGATAATAGCTAAGCTAGCTAGCGGGGCTGGGGCTAGCCTGTTGTTAGCCGGAAAGCTGCGCTGAAATGACAACAAAAAGACACCCTCCAGGTTTGAGAGTTTGATGTGTCACAAAAAGATCTGCTTTAAAAGCAACAGCTGCTAGACTTAGTCTAAAGTAAGTGCAGACAGTAATCATATTTTCTTGCAACTACAACAATCATTCCACAGCTCCAGTTACACTTTAAATATGTGCTTTAATCTTTAATCTCGCAAAGAAAAGTCTTTTGTTCTTTTTTAACATAATTTTAAATTGTCAGTGCCAGTTTTTCCTCCCTCCCAAAACTATTATTGCTCTTATCTTTAAACAATGTTTTACTTTCCACAACCACATTTTTGGCAGCCAAACAGGACATTCCTCTGAGACTGTGACCCCCTTTTTCCTATTTTTTTTTCTTTGCCTGAAATTAAACAGTTTAGAAGACTGTTAACAGGCAAAACAAAGACTCCCAGACCCGCATGCGGAACATTCATGGCATAACAGACTGTGTATCAGAGAATAGCAACGCGTAAGGGTGCTGTTTGGTTTCCCCTTCAGCTTCTTGGAGACTACTCCCTCGACCTCCATGTGAGACAGGATGGGCAGCCAGGGCAGCCCAGTGAAAAGCTACGACTACCTGCTGAAGTTCCTCCTGGTAGGAGACAGCGACGTGGGCAAAGGCGAGATCCTGGACAGCCTGCAGGATGGATCTGCAGAGTCCCCTTACGCTTACAGTAGTGGTGAGTCACTCCCACCTCAGCTGATCGGGCTCCTGCTGGCTCATCACTGAAGTCCTGAACATACAAGCTGCGCACGCCACCACCGCTGCTGCTGTGGAGAGCGTACAATGACACAATTCACATACACTGAACTTCACAACACAGCAGTGAGTCAGGCGGTCATGGATGTGTGTGTGCATTGTTGTTGCACATAGTGGATAAACAATGCTTTCTCTGATGTCAGTGTAAAAACAGGTTATTATTCAGTGAGCGTAGTTCCTCTTCTTATTCCTAAACACCTTCAGCGGCGGCCAACTGTGGGGGAAAAAACAGAGCCGGCCGTGTTTTAGTTTAACAACATCAGCTGTTTTTGAGCTGCTATGGAGGTCAGAAGGTCTCACCTTCAGTGTAGGAGTTCAGTGAGGTGTAACTGAAATAAATGTCTCTCTAATAGATCTCTGATCAACTAACTGCAGCTCCAGAAGTGTGAAACAGACTAAACATGAAAACATTTTTATGACTGATTCATCACCAACAGCATACATGCAAATTCCGACACAGTGGGAAGCATTTTCAGCTGGAACTTTGCTGCACAGCTTCATCCGATGGCATTAGTAAAATATAAGTGAACAGGTTTCATGTATAAAATGTATTCCTAACTCTCTGTTGCACTTAGAGCATACTGTCAGACGAGTCAGTGGAAACCAGGAGTCTTTAAACAGAAACTCACAGAACGTAACCTGGGATGAAGCTAAGGTCATGACAGTGGCGCCTGTTATACTCACCTTTTTCATCCTTGTCACTGCCACAAGGCGCACTTTGGTGTCATTTTGGCCACTCGTGCACCTTTTATGTTTTGTACCCTTCGACACATGCTTCGTGTGGTGAAGACAGGCATGTTTACAAGTGTGGTTTTTTTTTGCCGTGACTTTAATCATATTTAATAACAGAGCGAAACTAGCGAGCTAACTTCCGCTAACGTCTAACTCCGTTAAATGTAATGAATTCTGTTTTCATGGATGCCTGGATGTTAAACTTAATAGTTACACCTGGTGAAGCAGCAACGCTGATGATTTTATTACAGATGAAAGAATTTAGACAGTTTTTAACTCTCAGTGATGCCGCAGTGTTCGTTTGACTTTGGGACCATCATCAGACGGTGACCGTGCGCGTGCCTGGCTGTTATTTGTAGCCACGCAGACTTTCACCAACTATTCACGTGATCCAACCGGTGGTCTTTAAGAAGTATAGCGGGAAGGAGCGCTCAGCCGTCGGGTCTCCAGCTGTCCGTCTGTAATCAAGGTATTATACTTTTTGTGGACATGGTCAGCTGAGGGCTGAGCAGTCATTCCTGTTATCCTTCTTTAAAGAGCGCCACCTGGGGCGTATGCATAGTTGGTGCACTGATCCAATTTATTCTGTTTGCGATACAATGCCAGCGGCTTTGCTTCAATACCAGGGTACATTCAATAAGCTGGTATTTCACAGTCAGAAGAAGAAGATGGGAGTCACGTTTTTGTCATTAGAGTCAACTTGATGTTTATTAATGAAATAAATGATAACAAGTAAAGTGAAAAATGCACTCCTCTCAGTGTGAGAGTATCCCTGTTGTTATTTTTGGCCTCATTAGTTTCACGGCTCTCAGTCTCACTGCGAGTGCACCTCCTCGCACACAGAGTGGAGCAGATGGAGACTGGAGGAGTAAACTAGTATGAATCCAGCTGACGACAGCCTGTTCTGTTAATATAGGTGCTATAAAAGCTTTAAACCACCTTTAAAAACAGACAAAGTGACAAACTTTTACATTTAAAAAATCCCGACCATCAAAATGCTTTAAAGCTTCAGATGGAAACGAGCATTAATTATGACTAATTACCCGGTGAGAGTGCGTCTCCAGCACTGTGTCAGTCTGTTAGTCCAGCTTCAACTTTTCATTTACCTTCCAGTTCTTTGTTCCTCACGCTAAACCCGCCGTCACTTTAGAAGATAAGGAGGAAGAGAATGAGCCGGCCTGCAAGCAGCAGCGGTGATGCTCTCAAGTGAACCAGTCCATCATAATAACAACACAATGGAGGGCTGAGCTTGGTCGAGTCCTTGGGGGATATTTCATTGTTGTGCACTGAAATAAGAAAGGTTTAAGAGCCTCATTTGTCTAACTGATGCGCTGAGATGTCTTTTCAGCTTTTGTTAATTGTCTTCTCTGCTAAAGCCTGCTGTTATCAGCCATGAAGCATATCTCAGATCAGGGGAAATTATTTGAAATCCTCTTAGAAATTATTAATGCACAGCAGCTGTGTCGCTAACTAGAACTAACGTCAGCCATGTTTTGCTTCTCTTTATTGCCTCAAAGTGAAATCATTTTAAAATGTCGTTAATTACCCGACACGGCTCGAGCCTGCAAAGCAGCCTCTGAGTGTTCCAGCAGTCTGATCATCAGGTTAACTCGTCTAGCTGCTTTTGAGGCTCCTAAACGCTGGAACAGCCTCCTCCTTCTGGCTGGTCGGCTTAAACGCAGTTCTTCCAGCATCACTGGGATATAGTTCAAAGAAATTAGACTAATGACATCCAGCAAGGATGGAAGTCATTTTGATGAATAAAAAGATTTACTTCATTTATCCCCAGATGTTTGGAAATTCCCAGATCTGGTTTTAATGTGCTCGTCACTGTTGTGACCTTCTGTCTTCTGCTTTGTTTGAACGAGAATAAGTTTAAAAAAAGGTTAAACCCTAATTCCTTATTATTCCTCGTTATCATTCAGTTCATAAGGATTGTTTGTAGAGACCCTCAGCATGAACACATGCGTAGATTTGTGAACTCCAGTTATCCTCACCAGAGAAGAAGGTTGAGGTATGGATGAAACGGTGGGTTTGTGAACTGTTCGATCTATAATCGGTTTGATAATGAAAACAGTCGCCGTCTTCTCGTGCATCGCAGACATGTCTTTGTATCTTCTGTGCCGTTGATGGACGTCTGATTTGTGATCGATAAAGCACACAAACTCTAATGACAGAGCAGGCAATGTGACAGACCGGTCTATCCAGCTGGCACCCCCAAACCCGACAGCCAGCTAATCACAGCCTGAGGACAGCGTTATCCAATCAAAATCTGTCCTTCTGTCCTGATTTTCCCTTCTGAAATATTCAGGGTCCTCGCAGGCACTCTAGCCTGCCTTTGCCAGAGGGATGGAAATCAATAGCAGCGCTTCCGTCGGCACAAACATCCCCATCGAAGCTGCGATCCACTCTGCACTCCATATTTAATGAAGCTCTTTGAATTCTTTTGATCTTCCTCTCATCAAATGGGGCTGCTTCCTCTTTTACAGACTGTTTAGGAGCTGGCCTGACAGCAGGGCAGCAACAAACATTCATCTTTCATCTGATCAGCTAGCAACAGTCCTGAGTGGATTTTTTTTGTTGTTTTTTAATGCAAAAACTGCTTCCTTCTCTAAGAAGTTGGTCCAAAACCTCAAAGCTGTTTCCTCTCTGATGGTAGAAACAGTTATGATATATACCAGGGTAGGCGTCTGTTCTTCAGTGCGTGCTGCTGGCGTGGTGGTCCTCCGTGTTAATTAGTTCCCAGTCCTGTAATAGGACGGGCATCGACTGCAGCTGGCGAGGGCAGCTCTGATCTGTTAGATGGAGAGAATCTCCAACTAGCAGGTGGAGAACTGGTTTATGTGCTGCTACGCCGAGCTCACACTGAGCCAGCCGAGCAGACTCCATCAGCTTCAGTCCACAGTGGGCTTGGAGTTTGTCTGATTTATTTATTTATTTATTTTTATGCTCAGTGTTGTTGTTTCTGGGAAACGTCTGTTTTTCAAACTGGCTGGAAGTGAAGGGATCAAGTGGAGGAGAGGACCTCCGTCACAGCCAGGGTTTTATCACCTGCAGCTGTTGCAGTGAAACATTTAATCTGGCTTAGAGAGGCTGAAGTGTACCCATCTCCAAACACACACACGAACTGAGGGAGGGTCTCCGTGATGCTGCTGAGTGCCAACAGGCAGCTTGGTCCTGTGGCACGATTCCTCAGATGCTGGGAGATGCAGTATTTATGATCACTCTCTGATGGTGTAAAAAGGAAGAAGGTTCAGGTGAAAGCAGCTGATGAACTGCGCAGCTGGTCCATCAGTGTTTTCCTGCAGTATGGTCAGTGCTGGTAATGTGATATGTCTGCAGGCGCTTTTATAAATGACAGATGGAAGTGCGCATTAAACTGAAATATGATGCATCAAGCTGCATTTTCATTGTGTTGGACTTGTGAATGAGACAGGAGCAGTCTGCAGCATGTCGGCTTGTGTTTAGTTTCTGGTGGAAGGAGTTTAACTGCGCAGCGCTTTTAGATGAGGCGCTCTAATTTGCGACCATGTCAAAGCCTCTTCGACGCGGTCTGAGCAAAAGCTGAAAGCCTGAAGCTTCACACGTCTCTCCCACAAAGTGAGTCCGTTCCCAGAATAGAAGCAGTTTTCAGCTGAGACATTAGAGAAGCTATTGATTATCTGGGATGTCCTAAGTGCACCCTGGATATGAGGGGGAAGGAAGCGCTCGCTACGAAGCCCTGCACTCGCTCCGATTCAATTAGGCCAGCCTGAGCTCAGCACTTTAGCCCGGCAGCAGCTTCATGTTGCCGGGAAAATTGGAAGATCTTAGTAATGTGGTCCTGCTAACCGCCGGAGGCTGACACAGTAACATTTGATAGAGCTATTGTCTCTTTCATTAGTGTTAATAATGGCTGTGGATTGAAGATTCGCTGAGCTTTGCCTTAAAGGGCAGCGAGGAAAAGTGAAACTGTGGGAATGTAACGCAGGACTTGTCTGTGTGAATACTTTTACATGTTTCTGTGGTACAGTGAAGAACATTCATGAGAATTTCATGAGTTTCAAAGAGTTTTACTGAGAAACAAAGAGTCCTTATTTACAGTGTTCGCCCTTCTTATCAGAGCTCCAGGCTGACCCGTTTCTGCTCTTTAAAGGCTGAACATACCAAACACAAATAACTTCTTCCAGGAGAGGTTTGGTGGCGGTCTCTGAAGTGAGAACTTTCATTATCAAATAAACCTTATAGATCCACAGTCGGGAAACATCCCTGATCTTTATCCAGTCTGTGGTCAGCCTTTAGGATTATTTTAAACTGTGAATCATGCAAAGCTAATTAGACTCCAGGATAAAAACACAAAAACCATTTAGTGACGCGAGAACCTGTTGAGCAAAAAGATAAACATCTTATCAGAGGTGAGAATCGGAGTATTCAGTGGCTCACCTGTGAGGCTCACCTGTGAGGCCTCAGGTGGAAGCAGGCTCAGTGCAAACCTCAGGAACATGTCCAGACGTGGCGCGGTGGGGTGGCAGGTGTAGCGGTCTGACAGGTTTGTCAGAGCAGAGCTGAACAACAAGGACAGAACAGAACGAGCTGTTAGCTGTGTGTGGCGCCGCGCCACAGTCCGCCTCCATCACAATGGCTAAATGGTAAACGCGGCGTGTAAAGGCTCGTTACAGGTCACACACAAAAGTTTGTCACGGCATTTTGTGATGGACGGATGAAGGTGTAATGGGTAAAACGTAAACTCAGCTGAAGGATCAGGTGAAGCTTTCAGTCCCAACGTTAATGGTTTTAATGACTTTTTTGATCCTCTCGGCAGCACAGCAAAGCGTTAAACTGCCACCTGATTACTTAGGAGTTGATATTTTCTGTTATGCAACTGAAGCCATATGAAATACACTGTTTAGATATAGAATCAGAGCCATGAAAGAGCGGCGTTGTGTTTGTTATCATTCCTAAACACGTGGTTGGGACATTTTTAAAGAACGTCACGGTCGTCTGCGTCGTGTTTCAAGTGTTCATGGTGGTGATGAGTCACTTCCTCCAGCCTCTCTGACTGAGTATTGTACTTGATTGATTTTTATCGTTTTCTGTGCTTCTATCTCCCTAATGTCCATCTCTCGCTCTCTTCTTGTCCAGGTATCGACTACAAAACCACCACTATTCTCCTGGACGGCAGGAGAGTGAAGCTGGAGCTGTGGTAAGGACACGGTTTTATTTTTGCATTTTTTCTTGCATCCACTCTAAAATCCTGCAGTATGTGTCTGTGGCCTGAAGCCAGAGTTTGGTCACATTAAAGCAGAAATGGAGCATGCCTTTGGTTTAGTGAGGAATGGGAAAAGTTTTTATTGATAGTTTTTTTTTTTTTTTCTTTCTGTTTTCTGTGTTTGGAAAAACAGTTTTATTGTCTCTAAGTCTGAACACAGAGTTGGAGGGAATGAAGAGAAGAAGTGAGGCTCAGTTACTGTTTATGTAGCTCGTTTAAAAGCAACAGGAGATGAGCCGAAGTGAGGGGAGCAAAGGCAGATTAACATTTAAGGGAATGTTTTTAAATTTGTAAAAATGAACAAATAGAAGAAGATTATATTAAACAGATTAAGTTTAAACTGGAGTAAAAACAGACTTTGATGATGGGTCTGAAAGTAAAGACTCTAAACTTACAACAGCAGGGACGAGGCCAAACATCACCTGTACAAACTGTGAGTCGTCTGTGGCGCTCCACACCATGCAAAGCATCTCACGCTGTGTGGCTAGCATCATCACGCCTGTACAGAGAGTGGGTCAGTAATAAGTGGACTGGATTACAGCCTCTGTGTCAAAGTACTGCAGAACCGTCTTCCACCTCGCTTTGTTTACAACAGCACAGAAACTAGCAGACCACAGAGAACGGGCGCTAACGTGAAGCTGCACAATCAAACCAAAGCCAATGAATAGCTAGCAGCCTCCAGGAGAGAGGCAGTTCAGGAGGAAACCAGCTCGCATCAACTCCCATACAGGTGAAGTCATTTCCTTAGGAGGAAGTAAACAGCACCTCCACCTGCCAGTAGATGGTCCAGTAGATGTTTCTGAAGATAAAGAGGAATCTCACTGCAATGAAGACAGCTTTACTGGCACTACAGTCAGATCTGTTTCCCACGCTGAGTTTTTTCTTATCATCTTCCGTGTCTCAGCCCTTCTGTCACGTGCCCGTACTTTCAGCTCACAGCTTTCATAACTGCCATGATTTTAAAGCTGCGAGGTGCATGTGCACGGTCTCTTTGCACGCTGTCATGCCGGTGACGTAATCCTGTATCTGTGGAGTCGCAGCAGATTCACGTATTTGTCTGCAGTGCTAGGCGAGGCCTGTTTGGTGGAAGTAGGGCAAGGAATTCGACTCCTGAGGGGGGAACCGACGCCTCGTCTTCTGTGTGAAGAAAGAAGTTTGAAGGCAGCTGCGTGATGCAGGATCTTTATTTTGCTGCCTCAGTCTCGCCTCCTCTCCTCGCTGTTTTACAGTGTCAATATCCCCCTCTTCCTCTTCCTCTTCTTTTTTTTTTTCCTTCATCCTCGGCGTCCTTTTTTTTCCTGTGTGGTGACTCGGGCTCCTCGGAGTCTCTGAGGTTGGAAAACAGCAGATGCTGAAAACTTCTGGGATTATTATTACCATCAAATCCACGATAAGACCAAAAGCACAACATGAAATTGTTTCACCTAACAAGAATCAGTTTGTTATTCTGAGGCTCCATGTTGTCCATTGTTTACATGTCCCCTCATTAGTTTACTGTGACTCAAGCCCACATACGCCGTCCTGGTGGCATGAATGCTCACCGGAGCACCAGACGTGGATTAATCTGCTGCTGAAAATAGTCCCCAACAAGCACAGGGACTATTTTCCTTGGGAAAACCATCAGCATGCAGCTGTTTTATGAACATTTGGGATTTTTTAGAAGCACTTCAGTAAGGATGCGGTTCGTGAAGTTGGAGGTGTGCAGGCGTAAAGAAGCCAGAAAATGTTTGTTTTCTGGTACGCTGCACAACAGATGATCCTCTCAGACGGCAGCGCGTAGATGGACTGATGCTGCTTGGAAAAGCGGAGCAGCTGGTTTTTAAACCTGAAAAAAGAGATTTTATTCTCATGCCGTGTGTCAATCCGGTTTGCATAAGTCTGAGAATCATGAGTTCTCTGGTGTGTGCAGCTCTGTGTGAGACTGCAGGCTGAGCTCACGTCTGACCTGCAGAGTATCTGAATAAATAAGTTACTGTGTTGGAGAATAAACCAGTCAGAACTATAAAGTGATTCTGAGTTTGAGCCAAACCCACAGCCTGCACTGATTATATGTCATTTAAACTGCCTTGAGTCTATTGTTATCTTGTGCCCACGGCTCAGACGTCCTTAGATTTACCATATTTTAAGTCTGTGTGCATGCAGTTGTAGGAATGTGCAGTCCTGCTGCCGCTCGCTGTAGTAGGAACTACCTCACAGACACTTCACACAGTGGTGGGTTGGAAATGCAGTGTGTGAGATACAGTGAACGTCGCAGGTTTAGATGCAAACAAAGACCCAGTCTGACCACAGGCTGGGTCTAAACACTGAAGCCCCCACCACCATCGTCGTTACCGTCTGGCTGTCTTTTATTTATATATTGAACCCATGTTTGGATGACAGGGAGCCGTAAATGCACTGATAGTTTTATTATGCTTTTCTACTTTTAGTGCTTCTGCACTACAAGCCACGTTCAAGAGCTCACACACACTTTAATGCAGCACTTTCTTCCCTGCTTTTAAGAGCCTGTTCTGTGTCACTCACACTTCAAATCGGCGCATCAGGAGCAATTTAGGATTGATCGTCTTGCCCGGGGACGCGGCTGTATGAGGACTGAGAGAGCTGGAGGTCGGATCTGACCTTCCTGCCGGCATCGGCTCGTTGAGCAGTCTGTTAGCACAGTACAGCCGTGTTATTTGTTAGATAATGAGTATAGTTAACCAGGTGGATTCATCCCCAGTGTAGTTGTTATTGAAGCATTAAATTTGCTTCTGATTTCCAGCTGAAGTTTGGGAGCTGTTTTGTAATGCGTCCCTGTGGAAGTCTTGTTGGGCACGCTCTCCATTCTGGGGTTTGTGTCGTAACAGTAACTCCTTTCTAACATCAGGTGAAAGAGGAGAAAAATGCCGGCGCGTCGATGTAGAACTCGTGCTTGTGGAGGGGAAGGGTCCGGGCGTGAAACAATGGGAAAGACATTTTTTCTCCCAGAGTAATCTCCAGGCAGAGAACTTGGAGTGGATGTCATCACCCTGGAATGCAGAGTGAAGGGAAAACTCGAATCTTCTCAAAACTTAAAGTGCAATTGTGAAAAAGCCTGAGAGAGATCCAAACAGCCGTTCCCTCAGAGCTCCGTGACCCATTTAAACTTTGGTGCTCTCAGAAGTATTTTACCAGGAAACCATCAAAGTAGGCGGGACCTTTCACTCTTTAAGATGGTTTCAAAATCACTTCAGTGGTGGGAAAAAGTGCAGTCGTTTACTCATTTTATAAAAAATACTTAAAGCGACTCACTACCAAAGACCAAAGCACTCTTATCTTTGATCAAGTTGCACGTTTTGATATAAATTTGTGGCATTTGCGGCAGATCATGGAGGGTTTGGGTCAGAGCGCGAGCAGGCTGAAAGTGTTGTAGATAGAGGGATGAAGGGGATTGAGTTGCATGTTTTTGCCTCAGTTTGGAGGACCATCGCTGGCTCTGCTGAATCTGAAACCCCCAAAAAGAAGTCAGCTCAGATTTCCGTCCTGTTGGCTGAAGCCTGCTGCTTTGTGCTGTTTACCCCGAAAGCAGAAGAAGGATTTATCTGCTTGCAGCTGCACAGACCTGAGTGTTTAATGTGCTGCCTTTCCTCAGGGACACCTCGGGACAGGGCAGGTTCTGCACCATCTTTCGCTCGTACTCCCGCGGAGCTCAGGTGAGGAGCAAACAGCTGCATTCATTTAAATGCTGCTGGAGTTTGCGCGCTGACATCGTTTGTCTCTCTTCAGGGGATCCTGCTGGTGTATGACATCACCAACAGGTGGTCCTTCGACGGCATCGACAGGTGGATCAGAGAGATCGATGAGGTGAGCGTTTGAGAGTTTGGCTTTGTTTCTAATGAATCCAGTCTGACCATGTGACCCACACCTGAGTTATTCTCTGCATTAGCATAAAGAGTTTGCACACACTTTGAGCCTGGTTTCTTTTCTACATCATGTCCTGCTGTGTTTAAAATGATTATTTAGTTTTAATTGATGCTCTTACTTTGATTTCAGATGTAAACAGGTGAGTTATAAAACCATTCTCCTCCTGTACTGTTGTTATGAAGGAGAAATTATCTGTAGAGACAAAACAGTTTCTGTGTCAGGCTGTAAACATGTTTATTTCTGTCGGGAGTCTCTGGGGACTGACTAACTGCTGGAGCCTCTGCTGGACGTTAGAGGAACTGCAGCTTTTCTTGGCCGAGTCCTTTATAGAGATTCCTATAAACAAGCCGTAACACAAACCAGTGAACATCAGAGGAAAAAGGATAAAAAATAATATATGAACATCTAAACGTATATTCAGGCAAATCTGGTGCAACATTTGTTGCAGAAAATTGGTGATCAAATATTTGAATGTAATCAGTTTACAGCCAGCAAACTGTCATCAGTTGTCATCTGTTTATGTTTCGCCTTCCAGAGATTCTTGAGTCGACTATCTCGTTTTTATTTCTGTCCTTAAAAGTGTTTAATTCTGTGGAGGTGGAGCAGGAAAGGCCAAACGGGAACGCACATTCCAAAGGCCAAAAATACCAACACACACACACAGACAAAGAGGACATCCTCTTTGTTTCCAAATCAGCAGGAAGGACACACACATACAAAGTAACTCACTGCTTACTCATATATGTTTTCTCAGCATCGAAGTTAAAGTGTAAGATTAAACTAATCTAAGATAATCCCTGCAAGATGAAAGATAAAATCTAATGCTGCAGGAACAGAAGAGGAAAGAAAAAGCTGTAACACAGCAAAGTGTGCAGGGATGATGATGCAGCAGGTCCCTAATGACGGACGTTCAGCTTTAAAAAGTTTGAAATATTCAGATTTCCTGAAAGTCTGCAGTGCGTCTAATGCAAGTCCTGAAACCCCCAAATCTGTGATGCCTACAGCTACCAGAGTAGTTATGATAACGTTGTAGACCAATCAGCTCCTGTGCTGTGTGGATTTGCAACTTCTGGGTATGAAAAACAAAAACAAGCTTCTGTTCTGGCTCAGTCAGTCAGCATTTCCTGTTTGAAGCTTTAAATGCTTCTATACATAAATCAGTACATATTAAAGACAGGAAATACTTTTAACAGTTCATCTGAGTGCTGTTTGAGTCTTATTTGCACCAAAAAGCACCGGGTCTAATGAAAAGTCACAGCCTTTAACTTTTGGCCGTGACCACATTCTTAAGAACTGCACAACAGATGCTGACACATAATTTTTCTGAATCCTCTGCTGTGCTTCTGTCTCCTTACAACAGTATTGTCATTTCATCTCATTTTCCCTTTTTTAAAAACTGATCTCAGACTCAGGAGTGATGGTTATCACTCCTGAGTCAGTTTGATTTTAAAATTTTCAAGCATAATGTTTTGAGCTGTCCAGCTAACAAACAGAGAAACTGAACCAATGACCTTCTTCTTCTTTTTCTCTGTAGTAGTAGTGTTCTCTATTTTAACAGGTCAGTTTTGAGATCTAATTTTAAGGGACACCGACACTTAAGAAAAGGATGTGCAAAAGGGGAAAGACAAATACATGTTCCAGTGTTTTTGTTGCTCACTTATAGGTTTGCAAAGTATTTAAATCCAGTTTTCAGTGTGAGTAAAACGTCCAACTAATGTTAGAAGTGTCCTGTGACCAGACAGTGTTATTATATTTAAACGCAACAGCAGGGGCTCAGATGTAAGATGAAGTAGTCTTATAAATAAACATCATGCAGTGCTGCTAAGCAGGACCATCTGGCTTCTTCATATACAGTACAGTAATAATATCACCATCACAGAGAAATTTGTAGGTTGCACATTTATCGTGCGGGATCATTGGAAGAGCCAGTGGCATATGAGATGGTGTTTCTAATAGTGGAAAACACCCAAAGACGATGGCGACAGGATGTGCCAAACATGAATACAAACATCATCGCCACAATCAAGTCCAGATAAATTTTAGATTGTGGAATGATCTTACAACCTCGAAAAAGGGGAAAAAGATGTATTTCTTTAGCAAAATCCAACTTAATCTTCAGTTTTCTTGGTAGGTGTTCCATATGAGTCAGTGTGGTATCGACTCTTTACACCAATCAAATTTTTACATTTTAATACCATGAAGGGTTTGAGTATAGACCAAATTATGGTTTTTAGTGACCTCACCAATAACATGTGATTAGTTTTGTCGTAGTTTAGAACACATTTACATTTGCTGAAATATTTCTTTAATGTATCAGCAGGCTGTAGTTTTGCAGTCATCAGGATAAGGGAAGATCCAGTGGTATATAACGCAGTGTCATCTGCGTAAAAATGTGCATTAGTTTTTGAGTCAAAGATGTAATAGAGTAAATAAAAGAAGTCCAAGAATACTTCCCTGTGGAACACCTGTACTAATGACATCCATCCAGAGTCTGAAATAGTTACAGAAGTTTTATATACGTGAATAGCTGAGTACTTTTAAATAATATGATAAATAAAAGAGGACCAAGAATAGGTCCCTGTGGAACACCTGTACCAATGGCAAAGGTAGATGACGTCATTGGAGGTGGTCTGAGTGTGAAAAGTGAGCAGAAACTCTGAGAAGAAACAGATTAGTGGTGACGGTCACTGCAGTCATGTTTCATTCAGTTTGCAGAACAGACTGGGATGAATTAGAGAGAGGTACGCGCTGCATGCTGACGTCCTGTGCTTAACTTGCAAAACCCCTTTTTACTTTCAGGGACTTAAAGTTGCAAAAAGCACCAATAATCCAATTCAAACATCATCTCACTTTTTTTTCTCCCAGCATGCCCCAGGCGTGCCTCGGATCCTCGTGGGTAACCGTTTACATCTGGCTTTCAAGCGGCAAGTTCCCACCGAGCAGGCGAGAGCGTACGCCGAGAAGAATGGCATGACCTTCTTTGAAGTGAGCCCGCTGTGCAACTTCAACGTCATCGAGTCGTTCACGGAGCTGTCGCGCATCGTCCTCATGAGGCATGGCATGGAGAAGTTCTGGAGGCCCAACAGAGGTGGGTGGATGTGGAGCTGGGGTCATCAAAGTGAGGAAAGATGGGTTGTTAAACTGCACTCTGCTGGATTTTCACTACCGCCGAGAGCAAGAGAAAATGAGTCTGTGAAGCACTGTGGAGCCCATCAGCAGATGGATGTCATATCGCCACACAAGCTCTCTCAAACTAATTAATTTGAGCTCATTCCTGTCATCGCTCTGTCTCCTTCGTGTGTAATTACAGTATAAAGCAGTGGGAAGTGATGTCCTGCACGTCCTTTGAGACTTTATAGAGAACAGAGTCGGGCTCAGTGTGCTGAAACTCGCCTCTTTCAGTCTGAGCTTCCTCCTGTGTGTCAGTCCTCAGTTTATTCGAGGCAATAAGAGTCGAAAGAGGTCTGATTTCTTTAGTTTTGTTACAATCTGTTCATAAATCGGTAATAAAAAGCATTTATCTAAAACCTGACATTTTCCCTTAACGGATGTTTGACGGTAACCTCGTCTCTGTGCCCTCCCTCTCTGCAGTCTTCAGCCTGCAGGACCTCTGCTGCAGAGCCATCGTGTCCTGCACGCCGGTCCACCTCATCGATAAGCTCCCGCTGCCCGTCGCAATCAAGTCCCACCTCAAGTCCTTCTCCATGGCCAACGGAATGAATGCCGTCATGATGCACGGACGCTCCTACTCGCTGGCCAACCCAGCCGGCGGCTCCAAAGGCAACAGCCTGAAGCGCTCCAAGTCTATCCGTCCGCCGCAGAGCCCGCCGCAGAACTGCACCCGCAGCAACTGTAAGATCTCCTAACAAGCGCCGCTCCCCGGATCGCAGCTTGGAGCGGGCGTGGGATCAGGAGACGGATGTGCAGGGTGTCGTTAGCTGGAGGAAATCCCTGAACCCGAAGAGCAGGAATGATGGATAAAGGGATGCATGAGCGCTACCTCCCACCTACACGAGGTCATGTTTCAAGTGTTTAATGTTCTTTGCAGGTGAAGGGGGAGGGGTTCGAATGGTGCCTCAGGAAATTTAGAGAGTAACTACAAATGTTTTGATCTTATTTACACTAAAACAAGAGGAAAAGACTCCAGAAACTCCTCCCTGCTGGAGAGGCTACTACATGAACAGAGATCCCTCACCAACGCATACTTCGTTACTCTACATGATGCACGCCGCTCAGTGTCTGCATCACCGCAGCCTTCACTTTCACACCTTTCCTGTTTCCTTTTTCTGTCCACACCTCCGTTATTTTTTGTTCTATGACTGATAAGCTAACCATCAAAACACTAGAAAAGATCAGTCGCTTTTTGTCAGCACACGTGTTTTAAAGTGATTTTATATTATAAATCCACAGAGGTTTAGAGGCCCCACCCCCCAAAAAACCCCTGGAGGACCCGGCCCGAGCCGAGTCCAGACTTGTTAGTGTGCCTTGAGCCCAAGTGAACGAGCATGCAGCAGATAGATCGCTAAAAGCACAACAGTAACCATGAATTAGAAAGAGTTTCCTATTTTTAGTTTGCAGTCCCTTCAGCTTCTGATCTTCTGATGGTCTCCATTTGTCGCTTAAATGCAGCCAAATGTGATGAATTATACTGAGGAATTTATTTTAAACACGCTTTTTATATACATTTTTAAGGAAAATGTGTTTGTTGTTCAATATTTCACATGACAGTCAGCCAATCAAATGTACAAACCCAAACTGAACTTTTCAGACGGGTGGAAATGTGCTTGGGACTATTTTCAGTGGAGGAGTGATCCACATTTGGTGTTCTAGTGTGGAGTGTGGTTATGTGTCAGTGGTGCATCTGTTTTCTTTTTCGCCCGAGAGCTTCAGCGACTTGATTTTCCCCCACTCCTTCCTGACATCGTGCTTTTCAGATTTCACGCCTCACCTGTCGTGTCGCACCTTTCTAACTCAGCAGAGTCTCGTCTGCGCTCACCTGCTGCTTCTCTGACAACGTGCCGCCGATCCAGACTCTCCTCGAAGCGATGCTCCACCCAAACGTGTTGGTAACGGAGCAGATAGTGACGCTTCTGCAGTCCATTAATCCATGTGTTGGTTTCACTGAAAACAGCAACGTACGATAAGTTCAGCATGTTTAATGAAGCCTTCACATTCTGAATGTTTTCAGAGTTATCGCATCTTGAAGTACATCAGGGTGGATTAAGAACATTATACATGCGTCTCCTCACACTCGTGCACAAACTGTGACGCTGGGAGTGGGTTTAAAACCCATTCGTTTGCATTTTTTAACAGAGCTTCAACATCTTTTTAAGCCCTGGAAGTTTCACATGGATATGTCAGCTGTGAGGGATCAAAAAATGCAGAATAACTGCAAATTTGGACCCTTTCCCATGTAATTAGAGGGCCTGTAACTCTGAAGATATTCATGTGTGATGGTAAAATTTTGCTTGGCTTCATTAAATAAACTAAAGTTATTGAACATAAAAAATCCAGCTGATTCTGAGAGACCCAGAGACGAGGGACCGAGGGATTTTTCATTAAATAATGCTGCTTTTCTGGGTTTTTATTGCATTTTAAACAGATTATTTGTGGTTTTTCGCTCTTTTATGACTCAATCGTCAGCTGAAGCTCTAAATTGAGCACAAAGAAGTGAAGCAAATATATGGTGTCACCCTAATGGCTGCAGTGTCACAGTTGATCACTGATTAATAAAACCCAAATCACACTAACTTTGCTGAAAGATGTTCCAGCTGTCATTGAATTTCTCAGATTTTCACTGCAAAAAGTTCAAATTGAATGAACTTAAAGTCATAGAAGACAAAGAAAACCGGCCGATCGTGCAGATTTGAAAACTGCAAACTGTTAATTAGGAGCCAGAAGTAGCACAGAGGAAATCTCCACAGTGTTTTTGTGCTCGGATCTGAACGCGTGGGCAGAGAGCCTCAGCACGCAGCTTTTCTTTGGCCTAAAATGCAGTTTGAAGTTTCCCAGCGTCGGGGTGCTGTTTCCGATTAAAATGATCATATTTACTGTGATGAAGCTGGGCTCTGTCTGAAACGGTCCTGAAGCTCTGCTGCGACATGATTGGCTCACGTGTTTCTGTTTTGGTTTCTGATTGGTGATTTTGGTGGATCGGCGATCACTCGGGCTTCGCTGAGTGTCGCGCCCGCTCTTTGTGTAACATGTTTGGTTTTATTTTCACCGTTTTCACGAGTTTAACCCGAGCACAGCTGCTGCTCTTCATTGGGTGGCGAGTCATTGTAACCATCCGGTCACATCTTTAACCCACAGTCCCCTCAGCTGTTAGCTTACTGCGCTCCTGTGACTGCTGTAGCTGCGGCGTCCCGCACGTCTGTCTGCGGAGGTGTTTCCATACGCATCAGTCTGCCTGAGCTCTCGTGGGGAGAGGCAGCGACGCCCGAGACTTTCTGAAGCTGTTGATGATGTGACAGTTGAAGTTCTGATGAGGGCAAACAGGAAACCAGTCACAGCGGCTGGTCAGGCTCGTGTTGCAGTGGAAACTTTCCAGTATTGATAGTAAACAGTGACCCGTGTTTATCGGAGCGCTCTGAATGTCACTCGCTGTCTTTCATAACCAACTCTCAGAGCAAAGTGTCAGCCGACAGGGACATTTTCATTTTAATCGACTCGTTTCACTTTTTGAGACGTCGCACAGACCAGAACATTAATGGGGAGATGTTAAAAATCTAAAAAGTCTTTCTCTCAGTGGAAGCATAAATAGTTTCACTTCATTACAGGATGCTTAACTTCCTTTTTTATGCTGTTTGCAATTTTTTATTCTGTGGTTTTCGTCACATTTCAGAGAAAATCAATAATGTGTTTTTGATAAGCTGCGACCAAATCAGTTTCCGCCCACTCAGTCTCAATCTGAAGATAAAATCTCGCCTTCATTTCCGTCACAACCATCAGCTCCTTTCACGAGTGACAAAAACTGCAGTAGTTAATAATTTAGACCCAGAAGGAGTCGGAGTTAGAAGACGGCCGCGGTGTCAAAATGTAGAAAAAAGCAGACGTGTGGCCGCGTATCGCACACGTCTGCTGGGATAACTTTTTAACTTTGCACGGCGTCATTAAATAAACCACTCAGCAGAAATCAGCTGACTCTGAGGGGGTCAGAGGTCAGGTGGGAGCGAGCTGCAGGTCCTTTCAGGGGACTGAAGCACAGACGTGTGTTCAGGATGTCTGCTGCTGGTTTTCCTGATGTTTGAAATACAAAACACAGCAGACTGCGTTTAAACGTGAGCTCTTGATAATTGAATCAAGCTGCGACCACGAGGATGGAATTAAATGACCGTCCGCCTCGTGTTTGCCGTCCGTGTTCCCGCCCTGCTCGTCCTCCTGTCAGCGCAGCGTCGGCCTCCGTGTGCGAGCGGCCGCTCGTGTAGAAACGAGCCGGAACACGTGAAGTCTTCCGAGTCGCTGCGTTTTAAACTCCTCCGACTGGATCTCCCACGGGAACCAAAGCAGCAGGTCTTCTTCTCTCTCTGCCTCTGATCTGCACCGCCGCCTCCGCACGCTGTCCCATGATTCATAGCTGCTGAATAATAGATGCTCCTTTCATAGATCTCTGAAGAGCTTCATCTCTGTCTCTTTCTTCCTCTCTGCTCGCTGCGTGGTTTGTTTCCTCCTCAGTTTCTGCTTTTGCCTTCTTTTCCTTCGTTTTTTCTCTGCGCTTCATTCCAGGTTTTGTGGCGTCTCTCCATCCGCTCGGTTTTGTTTTGTCTCCTTTCTCACCTTTAATGATGCCCGCCACTGATCCAGTCAGATTATTCCTCCACCACACACATTAACTGTAGTTCCAGCAGCACCCTCAGGACCAGCCTAATGTTCTCTAAGAATAGCCCAACCATGAGATGAGTCTTGTTTATGGTGGTTTAATGTTCACTGATCTCAGCACAGTAAACAGCATCTGTGCTCGGCCTCTCACTGAAAGTGTTTTAGTGCAAAGCTTCTAAAAATAGAAGCTCGATCGGGCTGAATGCTGTTCATCTAAAATAACGCACAAGTCACCTGAAAGGTCAAATAAAGAAGATTCAGAGTTTAAGTTCTCGATAACCTGCAGAGATATGAGTCGCTGATTAAAGGAGAAACATGACGTAGATTTACAGCTGACCTGTTCAGCTCGTTTCCAGCTCCTTCAGAGCAGCTTTGCATGATTCACAGTTCAGAATAACCCTTCTTTATCTGAAACCGAGCCTCTGTGCAGCCCCTCAGCTCATCCTCTGCCTGAAACGGAGTAATTTAGCTCCTCCCTGTTTAAACCAGCTTTCTTCTGATTGGCTATAACGTGCAATCAGATGGTCTGAGATACAATATTAGGCATTTCCACTCTCTGTGACATCATTTTACCAACTTTAATGTGAATTAAGACGATTCATTTTAAATCTTTTTGTGTTTTCAGTCCTAAAAATTTCGACATACCCCTCATTTCATGCAGGATTGTAAACTACACTTAAAGCACTCTGCATGTTTCTGTTATAATGCCAGACTTCTATATTAAACATGTCTATTGGTTCTAATAATGAGGCAACAATATGTAAATGTAACCCTGTTAAGCCAAAGTTCAGCCTCTTTTTGCTCTGATTAAGGTTTAGAGAAGCAGATTTCTTCATCCCGTCCTTTCTGCAGACAGCACAGCTCACAAATACTTAAAACTGCCCCTCAGCAGTCGTCCAGACTTTAGCCAGTCAGAAGAAGGTTCAGGAAGGTGGGTGCCTTTAAGCAACGGGAGGAAAGTCAGCTTGTTTGACAGAAAGGCCGGGCGGCGATAAATAAGGTCATTCCTGATCTGCAAGTCATGCGGCGCTGCTCTGATGGAGTCCCAGGATAAGATAAGATACCTTTATTAGTACCACGAGTGGGAAATTTCATGTTAAGGCTGCCGACCTATTGCACACTATGGAAAATGCATGTAAATAATTGGAGGAACTTTTACGTTTGAAGCACAGCTGAATAAAAGGAAATCAGCAGTGATGATCACATGGTTTTTAGTAAACGTGCAGAAACTCTCGTAGTCACAACAGCAGGAAGTGAAGAAACTGTCCTCCTGACGAGGAGCCTGTGAGCGTGGTTCAGCAGTTTTCTTCTCCTGCAGTTTTCACACGTATTTTAAACGTTTGTTACGGAAGTTCATGAATGGAAAAACACTCTCACCATCAGGTTTCATCTCTTTGCCAACATTTTTAGGTTTTTAGCTTCTCCCACTCTGAGGCTTTTATTTTCTCGACATCAGCACAACAAACCTCGTGTGTTGTTGTGTTTGTTCATCCAGCCACAGTTTTTTTATTTGAATAACCACAAAATCGTTCAGAGGATTGTGGGAATGTTTGTAACAGCAAGAAGAAAAATGACCAGTAAAACACTACTCCTGTCGTTTTGGCTAAGTGTGAGCGTGTGTGTGTGTGTGTGTGTGTGTGTGTGTGTGTGTGTGTGTGTGTGTGTGTGTGTTGTGTGTGTGTGTGTGGTGTGAGTGTGTGTCTGTGTGTGTGTGTGTGTGTGTTGTGTGTGTGTGTGTGTGTGTGTGTGTGTGTGTGTGTGATGAGAGAGAGAGAGAGAGAGAGTGAGGTAATGATCTTTAAACATCAAGCTGAACATTTTTCTTTCTTGTTTTTAAATTATTGATTGTACAGTTTAAGGCGATGTGTATGAAGATTTTTCACAATAAAAGTATTGAATGTTGACGTCAACCTGTCTCAGGGTTTTATTTTACAGCCCAAAAGGTAAACACCTCAAAAAAATAAATAATTATAAATCATTTCATGCATATAAAACATGAGCACAGTCCACGAATCAGTGTTTTATTAGAGAAGGCTGCCATCTAGTGGATGGTTGTGTTGCTTTAGTTTGAAAAGAAGTCCAACCGGAAGTATTTAGACTGCAGTTGGAAGTGTTTTACAAGAATAAAATCATTTAGATTACATTTATCCGTATGGTAAGATTGATTGATTAAAAACAAAATTATGTTCAGCGGTGATTCAGAATTATTTCAGAATACAGTAGATAAAACGTCTCAGTTTACTATATAAAAGTCTGTGGTCTAAAAAGCAAGTACAATCTTCCAAAATCTAGTATTTACTTTTTGGGTTAATTAAAATGTGTTTTTAGCATTAGAGCAGGGGTGGGCAACTCCAGGCCTCGAGGGCCGGTGTCCTGCAGGTTTTATATCTCACCCTGGGTCAACACACCTGAATCAAATGATTAGTTCATTACCAGGCCTCTGGAGAACTTCAAGACATGTTGAGGAGCTAATTTAGCCATTTAAATCAGCTGTGTTGGATCAAGGACACATCTAAAACCTGCAGGACACCGGCCCTCGAGGCCTGGAGTTCCCCCACTCCTGCATTAGAGAGAGAGAGAGAGAGAGAGCGTCCAGCGCCGATTTGATCCCATTCCAGTCCTGTTAGACTAAAAACGAATAAAGAGAAGCACGCAATTGAAAACTCCTCGAATCACCTCCTGGTAAAACACTGCCACCTGGTTTCACTTGCAGCTAAAACATGTAGAGGGTAATTACAAAAAGTACCTGTAAGGGAGAAAGATTACCTTTTAAAATAGGTTATATAACCTGATTTAAAGGGTAATCTTGGTTCCTACCTGGTGATGTTCATGTTAGGAATGCTTTGGAGTTTGTAAAGCTCTGATGTGCGTCAGAAAGAAGTGAGCTCCCTGTTCTGTCATTTTTGGTGTTTATCATAAAAACAAACTTAATTTACCTGTGCAAAATCCAACTAAAACCTGCTTTTATGCAATAATCTCAACAGCTATCAACTTGAAGCTCTTATTTTGAAAAGAAGCCCAGCTAACCGGAATTCTTCCTTTCAGACGAACATAGGCGCCATCTTGACAGTAGTCCTTTAGCACATTGTGCTGCTGTTTTCTCTTCAGAAATCAGCGTCTGAAAACAGAAAGCTCTTGTTTCCACGTCTCTGGCTCTTCGGGCTCTCGGTCATGTCCAGCATCCAGCTGCTCAGAGTGCTCGTTAACGAGCGGCTGGCCGCGGCCGCCGACGACATCTTGGAGGCGGTGAAGAAGACCATCGCGGGCTATGAGGAGGAGATCCTGCTGTCCAAACGGGAGATCCGCCGCCAGCGACGGATGCTGCAGAGAGAGTCCAGATCAGAGACGTACGCCGGCAAACACTCAGGTCTGTGAGCTGCCGGCGTGTCTTCAGCCCTTCAGGTTGTCCGCTAACAGGCCGCACTGGAAACAGGCCCGTCTGGGGCAGCATGTCTGCCCAGTGGTACCCCATTCAAAAAATCTGCAGATTTAACGTTTCCCATCTAAAAGCAAAGGTCCCAACCTCAATAAAAACACATTCCTTAATTTCAAAGTATGCTTTTGAATTCGGCATAAGAGTTATTGACAAAGCTGCCTCACACTCTGAGCAATAGAAACTTTAAATGACTGATTGAAAGGTGACCGTCAGGGCGCCGAACTTTTCGAAATAAATCGTTTCCGCCTCTGAATTCAAAGATGTTCACCTGACAAAGTCTGGAAGCCTATTTGTGACTAGCGTGACTTGCTTTGTTATTCAATTAACTGCTTTAAGTTTAGATTGGCAAACTTTCTTTGGCCTAATTTCAACAGTTCAAAAGACAGTGTTTGCTCATTAAATTCTCTAAAACTATATATATATATATATATATATATGTATATATATGTATTTGTTTGTTACCCAAGCATGACATTTAAGTCTGACAAGTGATTCACCGAGCTGCTCTACAGTCTGAGAAAAATGAACTTTTACGGGCTGGTTTTCATGAAGAGACTGCTGCTGGGACACCAAACTCCACAGACACACTTAGTAAGACAATTTTATTTCTCCACATGCAAATATTACAGTGATCTGCACAAGTCTTGAGCAACGCCAATGCTCTTTCTATTGAAACATTTCCAAGCAGAGTCTGTGTAGGTTCTCAGTCAGGGAGTGAAGGTCTCACAGTGGTTTTACCTGAAATCTCTGCTAAAAATGACCCACGCTTCTGTCCACACCTTGACTCATATGATGAGGCACGTGATTAATAAAGAACACACTTAAGGGACAACTCCCACTAGGCCTTAAATACCTGGGCCTCTCCACCATTTGGTTTTAGAACTGAAGAAACTTCTTGCATGAGCGGTGAAACGTCTTCAACAAACTTAAACAAGTCCAGTCGCTTTCTATCCAAGCTCCTTAGAATGTGCAAGTGGTGTTCAGGAATAGCTCTGCAGGGTTCTTGAAGGACATTCAAAGATCTTCCTTGGATATTTCTGACTTTCGTTCTGTTTTCTGTCGGGATGATCCCATGCTGTGTCAGTTATGTTGAGGTCCGGGCTCTGGGGAGGCCGATCCATGACTGATCATAACTGTAGAGCTTCTCGAGGCAACTGTTGTTGTGATTTGGCGCCATATAAATAAAAGTGAATTAAGCTAAACTTAAAAAACTACCAAGTGTAACTTAACTTTAAGTTAGGGCTTAAAAGCTGAATATTAATACAAAGAGAGGGAACTTCAATAGTCAGACAATCCCCTGTGAGGTGATCTTGGCAAGGATGGGAAGGAAGAAATCCCTTTTAACAGGAAGCGACCTCCAGCATTACCAGGATAAGGGGGAGAGACAGCATAGAGAGGTGAAACACACTCTATAAGAGAGATCTAAAACCTAAGCACTCATGTGCCCTGAGGTCTAGTGTATTATTGTGAAGTTTGAAGACGATCCATAGAAAACTGGGTAATATGAAGTTTGGTGCGACTTTGACCAAATATGCAGCAAAACTAAATCAGCTTGAGCCGTTATTGGTATCAACAATCACACAAAGTTAGAAAATGATATGTTGAAACTCTGGATGCTAGATCACTAACAGACAGACAAACAGACCTGATTACAGACTCCTCCCCTCCAGGGGGCGGGGACTATGCATAACAAATATTAGGGGAAATCTCTTCATTCTTCCCGTCTGGAAGACAAAATATCAGTTGTCTGATTTTTATTTGTTTTAAATGTCAGTCTTGAACCATTGATGAACACTTTTGTTTATCTGTCAAATTTGCAGATCAGAATAAAATGTAGCCCTCAGTCAGTTATTTGTGGTGGTATCTGGAGTATAGTTTGTATCATGGCTCTTGATGACATCACTGTTTCCTGAAAGTTTTAACTCTTTTTTTTCTCTCTCTCTGCAGACCAGCCGCAGCTCGCGCTGACTGTCTGGGACGAGGACTTCCCTGAGGATCAGCAGCAGGCAGAGGAGCAGTGTGAGCTGGAGTGGAGCCCCGGTCAAGACTTGGAGAATGAAGAATCTCTACAGACGGACAAGAACCAGGAGGAGGACGAGGAGCAGCCACAGCACCCGCTTCAGGAGCTGAGGGAGGAGGAAGAGCAGGCGCTGCAAGAGGTTGAAGGGGAGGAGGATAGCGCCTCCATTGGGTTCATCTTCAAGCATCAGCCCAGCTCTCCGAGCACTAAAGGAGGCGGTGGCGATCCTCTACCCAGCACGTCCACAGAACAGGAGCAGGCGCAGGAGGAAGTGACTGTGGAAGACAATGATGAGGCCTCCTCCAGCTCCTCGACTGTCAACAGCGATGACGAGTGGAGGGCCAGCGTGGATTCTCAGAGCGACGACAGCGACAGAAGCCATGAGTGGAAGCCGAAGAAGAAGAAGGGGCCTCGTGTACCGATGGCGCCGACACTGCACCTGGCCAAAAAACTCAAATCCAGAATCTGCTGTAAAGTGTGCGGGAAAGGCTTCCACGCCAACATCTCTTTGGTGAACCACATGGAGATTCACCCCAAGGACGTCTGTGGCGTGTGCGGGGAACGTTTCGACAGCGAGCAGAGCTTTCACAGTCACGTGAAAACTCACGTGAAAGCGGAGATCTGCAGCGTCTGCGGGAAGTGTTTCGGGACCTCGAGCAACCTGGAGACGCACATGAGGATCCACACGGGGGAGAAACCGTTCCTGTGCAGCGAGTGCGGGAAATCCTTCAACTGCCGTCACAACATGGTGCGACACATCAGGATACACACGGGGGAAAAACCGTACACCTGCACCATCTGTGGGAAATGCTTCAATGACTACTCGACTCTGAAGCGCCACCTGCTGGTTCATATCCGCAAGAAAACCCGCAATCCAGAAAACTCATCGGTTAACGATGACGGCGACAAGGGGCTCAAGACATCGCAGTCAAAAAAGTCCCGGGCTATATGCGAAGTATGCGGGAAAATGTTCCACTCGGTGGTTTCTCTGGTGAATCACGCCAAAAGTCACGCCACAGATGTCTGCGGCGTGTGCGGGATGAATTTTGATTCTGAGGAAAACTTGAAAAGTCACCTGAAGACTCACAAAAGCGGGAAGGTCTGCGAAGTGTGCGGTAAGTGTTTCGACGGGCACGGAAACCTGGAGATGCACATGAGGATTCACACCGGGGAGAAACCGTTTCTGTGCAATGAGTGCGGGAAATCCTTCAACTGCAGACACAACATGTTGCGGCACATCAGGACGCACACGGGGGAGAAACCGTTTCTGTGCAACGTCTGCGGCCGAGGCTTCAGCGACCAAACGAGCCTGAAGCAGCACAGCAGCACGCACACGGGAGTCAAACCGTACCGCTGCGAGGTCTGCGGGAAAGGCTTCCACCGAAAGACGTACGTGAGGCTGCACATGAAGAGCCACACGTCTGGGAAGTGACCGCTGTGTAAATAAAGATTTTGAAAATGAAGATGTTTTTGAATTTTATTGTGAAAAACTGACAGAATTTATATCGTCTTCATGCATCATTGGTCCTGAATATAATGTTGGAAGGAAAATATCCAAAGGTGGCTTATTGTTCCAAAAATAAGGCGGCTGTGACTCCAAACGTTCCAGTAATATTGAGCTCAGCGTGACTCACGGTGAAGGTAAAGACTAAAGGACGACCCACATTGCACCAAAGAAAGGCAGAGAACACATTTCTGACTAGTCCGATGTTTCTAAGGGACAATTTGAATTATTAGACTTTTTAAAATCTCCAACACAGTTTTGTTTTCTTTTTAATCACTTAAAACCCAAAATGTAAAATAATATTAAGTGCCAGAAAATTAAGAGTTTTTGAAAACGGGCAGTCTTTGAACCATTTGACAAATTTCTTTATAAAAATAATTACATTTTATTTCCATATATGACTTTTAATTTGTATCATATTTGTTACATCTGGGGGGAAAAAATCACACGGATGATGCAGAAGTCTCAAAAACATCAAATATAATAAACTAGGCATTGAGGGGTTAAAGCCATATTTGGTTATAGCAGCCATAATAGATTCATCAGCTTCATATTTCTATTGACTCCACTAGAGTAGCTCCTGGAGTCTGAGAGAGAGAGAGGGGGGGGGGGAATGTTTTCTGTATCTCATCCTGCGTTTGCAGCCCTTCAGTCCCCTCAGCTCCTGTCTCCTTAAGTCCCCACTTGATTCTGATTGGCCATCTTCCAGAAGCTTCCCGAGGGGCAACACTCAGTTTTTGTTGGTGCGTTCTTCTTAGGAGCGTCAGATTTAATGGAAGCTTGTTTACGACACTGAAAAAACAAATTTACCACCCAAAATTCTGCATGACGCACCTGAAACTTCCCAGAAAGCTGATTTTCTTCTGGACGAAGTGTTTTCATCGTGAGAACCGAGCTCACAGCTCACTGTCAGCTGAGACTGAAGAGGTCACTTGGATGAAATGCTTCTTCCCAATGCTTCTTTACCTGGATGATTTAGCGTGCATCAAAACGCGTCTCACACGTCTGAGAAAATAACCTGAAATTTTGAATTAGGTGTACATGTCAAAGAAGTTAATGTTTTTGTTTGTTTTTCAGGGAGGAAACAAAGTTTAAAAATCAAATCCAGCTTTTTAGTTTACACACCAAAGCAGAAATTCTGGTAGTTACGTTGAAAAGCCCCCATAACGTGTTTAACGCTTTGTTTCATTAAATGCTTTTCTGTCATTATTCCAACTTCACCCACATATAGGTCGAGCATCAAACACTAACATCCTGCTGTAACGCTATCGCAGAATATAACAAAAGCTTGCTCTCAGACGTTTTATCCTATTACACGGGCGGCCTCGTGGTCTAACTTTGTACTTCAAGCCCCAAACAAACGACAACAATGTAATGTTTTATTGTTTAGTACACATGCAGGCGGTTACATGATGTAAATCTGTGTGCTTCACATCGTGCCTCTGACGGACTGATAATGTGCAGCAGTTTGGAGTCACGACTTCAGATATTCAGTTAATGTCGAGCTGCTAACTCGAGTTGGTCGAAGCTGTTTGCTGAGAGATGCCTTCTGTTTTTTGATGGAGACTAATTTTTAGATTTTGTTGGGTTTTTTTTTTTTTAATCTTTTGCTCAAATTTTCTTAATAAACTCTGAGTCAACTTTGGTTGTTTCTTTGCTTATTTCTCCACAGTGCACAGATGACCAAAGAACTACAGCGAGTTTAAGAAAATGTGATTAAAACCAGTATTTTTCTTTCTTTTTTTTAAAAAATTGGGCTTTATAGAATTACGCTGGCATGTGGTTCGCACTTTTGCCTCATAGCAAGAAGACCCTGGGTGGAGCAGGAGGTGGGGTGCATCTTGACCCTGGACTGGATAAGTGGAAGAGGATGGATGGATAATTACAGAGGTCTTCTTTATTCTGCTCAGCTTGGCTGGTTAGCTTTTAGCAGTGCTGAATAAATAACTTATAACACATATATAACATATAAATAAACATTAACACACTTAGCTAAACTCTCTTTTGTATATGTTTTTTTAAATTATTTTATTTAATCCTAATTATTCTTTATTTTTATGAACTGGTAAAGCCCCAAAAGCTTACAAACAAACAAACTCTTACTGGTTTCGTGTTCATGTTAATTGTGTAAATGCTGTGAGCTACTCACAATGTTGAGTTCCTGTTTCTCTTTATTCTTTATTATTCTAGTTTGATTTGAATTCAATTAGATTTTATATGTAATTACTTAAATGGCACATTGTAAGTGAACAAAAATAGCAATTACTGCTACTTCATTAAGCTAGCCTGATTAACCTTTAAGCAGTTAAACATGTTTGTAGGTTCTTAAGCAAACTGTGTAATATTGTGTGTTATCATAGTATTACTGCAGTTATATTTTATGCCAGTCTTTTGGAATAAAAGGAATATGTACACACCTATACAGGTATTTTGGTAAGCTTTGGGTTTTGGCATCTTGAATCTCTGAAAATGGAGCATTTGAAAAACTGCTAGAGAGAAGAGTCTAACAAACTGTTTTATTTTGATCTGGATGGACAGATTTTGCAAATTAAATTTGACAAAAAAAAATCCTACGTACGTGCAGATGTAACTCTAGTGTTTTTTTAGAGAACTGCTCAATTTTTCAGATTTCTGCCTGTTAGATGAGACGATGATGACACAGAGTCCAAACAATGGGAACAACAATAGAAATCAAAGCAGTGAAGCAAAAGTGCACGAACTTCATCACTGATGACTCATGTGTCACATTTGACTCGTTGTTCTGGTAGATTTGAGAAGCCGAGGTTTAAAAACAAGGTTTATGTGTCATCAGTTAATTCCGCCGCTTCCTTTTTAACTTCATGCATCTTTAGTTGATTTGTCATCTACACTTCCAATGCTCGTCTCATCAGGCTGAAACATGATTCTTTGTTTTCTACAGTCAGGACTGCAGGTCCTGTGAAGGAGGTAAAAACACAAACCTTATAAGTGCCTTTTAATCCTGCAAGAGGTCAGAGTTTGATTCAAATAAGACTGATTACAGGGAACGTGGGTCTCTTTAATCGATATCCTTGTTGTCTTGTCAGCTGTTTATTTTTTAAAAAGCATTTCAGAAATCCACGATTGAAGGTTTTCTAGTGTGTTTTATATTTTATATGATTTTACTGCAGTGCATTGGTGTCATTGTCTGAAAAATGAAGCTGTTAGCAATCAGATGCTTCCCAGATGACACTGCATGGTTGATCAAAATGAACTTTTCTGTGTTCAGAATTCCATCAGTTTTGGAAAGATCTCCAACACCACCCACTAGAATTTAGCTCTAAACCACGACAGACACTCCACTGTGTTGGATGGATGTAGACCCTCACTTATACCTCTCTCCTCCTCCGTATATACTGACAAATTGAACCAAACATTTCCCTCTTTCCCTTCCTTCATGGATCAGCTGAAGGTCCAGATGCAATTCTCATGTGGTTTGTCAGGATCTGGATTTTTTTTTTTCCCCGTTTTTTTAAGGGCATGACTTTCATATGCTGTTCTTCTGTTGTAGGTAGTTTGTTATAGGCCTGACACTATCTTTTTCCTTTACTTGTCTAGCTTACCCAATTTTTTTAAGAACATACTGCACACCAACTGAGAAAACCCACGTTTTTGGCTCTGGGATTTACCTTTTTGAAGCAAAAATACTCTTTATACCTGTAAAACTGTTATCTTTGGCATTTTTTATAAGTTCAACTAAAGAAATGGAAACAAATGAAGTGTCCTTTTATGCTACAGTGATTTATATTATCACTATTAGTACTATTACTACTACAGTCTTGAATGGTATAATCTTGAATAACAATACTTTGCTTTTATCAGGTCAACAACGACTTGTAGCAGATTCATTTTATTTCTTTCTAGTTAAATTTTACCTCTAATACGGGTCAAGTACAGTGCGCATGTGCAGCCGGTCCCCGACAGTACCATAGCAACAGCAGCGGACATCAGACGCGAACATGGTGAGTGTTTGTGTTTTCGGTTGGTTTTGGAGCTTTTTGCTGTTTTGAGCTGCTGTTTGAGTGATGGTACCTCTAAAAACTGACAGAAGCTCGGAGTCACCTCATGTCTGAGCGTTTTACCGGCCGGAAACACGAAGCAGCGCCACATCCGCCGGCTAACACGGGCTAACTTTAATTAGCTCCTTAGCTCGTTAAGTAGCCGGAAAACAGCAGCAGAGTCCTGAAGGAGAAGCTGGATTAACCTCTGCTTCGGCTGTGTGTGAAGAGTCAGCATCGAGCCCAACAATAAAAATCTATAGTGAACTATTATTATCATTGATATTAAGATGGTTCTTATTGTTATGTTAGCCCAAACCGGAGTGTTTGCTTGTGTTATCATCACACTTTAAATCACACATGTTTCTGATTGGTCTAAATGTTGATGTTTCCAGGCAAAAGCAATGACTGTGAAAGACGCGCTGGCTAAATGGGTGAGACACACACACACACACACACACACACACACACTCTCAATCAATCAATCAATCAATCAATCATAATACAGTGGACTCGGATGTAAATCAAACAAAACATCACATAAAACACATGGAAAAATAATTTCCTTTAGAAAGACAGCAGTGGGCTGTACTCTGAAACAGGCTTTGAGACTTATTCAGAAAACTTTGGCTTTATATCACCATGGTTACCAGTGCTGCAGACCTTAACCTGCTTCCCAGCAGCTCTAGTCCAAGATCAAGCATGAAATCACTGCCTATCAGACCAACCAGAGCTCTGAAAAATAATGTCAACATTCTGAGCTCAGAATGCAGATAGTCCAAAGATTTAAAGGTCTTTATGAGCATTATTCTTTTCTGTCCACCTGAAGCTCATTACTGATTCACGTGCCAAGATATTTACACTGCTACACAAAATAGTTTACCACCACAGGAGAGACAGTCATAGGATTCATCTTGAATTCCACAATCAGCTCTGCAGATTCAGACACCTTAATGTCCAAGAACGACACCACCCAGACTCACACATTGGCTGCCACAGTGTGTACATGTATGTGACTGTGTGTGTGTGCAGGAGGAGAAGTCAGGCGAGAAACGAAGCGAGGCAAAAGCCGTCAAGCTGTACGGTCAGGTTCCTCCTATAGAGAAGATGGACGCATCGCTCTCCACGCTAACAAACTGCGAGTGAGTCGTGCAGACGGGACGCCGTCTCATAAAGTCAGAAGTACTTCACTTGTTCATGTTAAACTGTGAGAGTCAGCAGAACAGGAGGACACCCAGAAACAGCCTTAAAAACAGCAGCAGTGGCAGGTTTGGGCCAAACACTCATCCTTCAAATCCATCACGTGTTGTTGTGTCGCTTTCTTCACAGGAAACTGTCTCTGTCCACAAACTGCATCGAGAAGATAACAAACCTCAACGGCCTGAGTGAGTGCTGACTACACACACACACACCCACACACACTCTGGCCACAGATGGAAACGTGTTGTTGTAATGGGATGTTTGGTCCTTCCAGAGAACCTGAAGATTTTGTCTTTAGGAAGGAACAACATCAAGTCGTTCGCAGGGCTGGTGAGTCACACAGGACACTGAGGCGTCCTGGGGACGTGGGTGAGACAAATAATGCACGGCCACAAGTTAAGACGCATGATGACTGAATTGTTGCCGGGTCTAAAGTTTCCAAGCGCTTTAGATTTGACAAATCACGAGCACCCATGCAAAATGTTCTCCTTCATCTTTTCATACCTGTGTCATAAAAAGAATATTACCACCAGAAACTCTGTGTTTATCCCGACATTATTAACATGACAGCATCAGCATGTTGACCTGAAACCTACGACACAGGTTCAACAGATCCAGGATGTCTGTCTGTGATCTGGCTTCACTTAACCCAACATCATCATCAACAACCTGGCAAGAGGTCACATGAATAATAAGATAACGAGATGATTCTTCATCACATATTTGGAAAATGCTTTTGTTACATTCATAATCATAACAGTAAAACTAAAAGTAATATTAATAACCAAGGTTTTTTTTTAATTCCAGGATCCATTTTTTGTGTGAATTATTTTACATTGATTGTGTGTGTGTGTGTGTGTCTGTGTGTGTCTGTGTGTGTGTGTGTGTGTGTGTGTGTGTGTGTGTGTGTGTGTGTGCGTGTGAGCAGGAGGCTGTAGGTGACATACTGGAGGAGTTGTGGATCTCTTATAACCAGATAGAGAAGCTGAAGGGAATCCAGTGCCTGAAGAACCTGAAAGTCCTCTACATGTCCAACAACCTGGTCAAAGACTGGGGTAAGCGGGGGTTAGAGCAGGTGTGGTGATGCTCGCTCAGTAATAAGAACACAAAAACATCCCGCGGTCCTTTTTCCTTCATCGCTGTGACGGGTTCATGGTGCTGATGTAAAGTTGCCGTTGCTGCGCCTTTAGCCAGCTACAAAAGACTAGCGAGCGTGAATAGAGTAATATTTCTATAAGTGTCAGGTGATTTCAAACAGCTCGACAATGATCACACACAAACACTTTGTCTGCAGTTTGTCTGAGAGATAAATGAACAGTTGCTTTGTTTTCCAGGGAGAGAAAAAATGTCAATGTGTGAGATGGATGGAGGAAGATGAAAGAGGACAGGAGGGGCAGATAAGAGACTATTTTTACACTAAGGACTGCGAGATCTTACATGTATTGGCCTCATTCATTTTAGTTTAGTTTATAAATCAAACGAGAAACGTTATGTTTCTCTGAATTGTGTTTTTGTTAAATTTCTTTCAAAACAAACTAGTTTTACTGATTTTCTGGATGAACATACCAGCCAGTTTAGTGCAGACCGAACTGGTTAGTTTGCAGTGATGTGATGAAGTTTACAGGAATCAGAATCAGCTTACTTCATTAATCGACAGGGAAATTATGTGGGTTACAGTTGCTTAGGCACGGTAACATGAACAAAACCAGGCTAGACTATTTAGCAATACAACATGTTATGTGTATTAGATGGAGGAGTTGTACAGGGAGATGGTCACAGGCAGGAATGATTTTGATTTTGGTGATCTCAGTCTTGCACTGTGGTGAATTATTGTTACATCAGTTTATATTTAAGGTGGTGTTGATTATGTTCACTGACTGAAATCTGGCTTTCGTATAAGCTGTGTAGTGTTTATAGCATCCAGAGGCTTCACAGCAGCAAAACAAATCAAAATACTCATTTCATAGTATTCGAGCATTACTCATTACTCATAAAACTTCTATCATTTCCCCTCTGTGAAACACCCGGAGCATGGCACATTGCTGTGCAATTGCATTAAAGCTCTATCATATTATTAATAACACAGTGTTTGGTAACCATCGAGCTCCAGGCCTTCCTGTTTGCTCACCGGCAGGCTGATCCGATTCTGGACGCTCCCTCGGTCAGACAGCCTCCTCCTCCTCCATGCTGGACTGCAGCTGGTGATGACAGTCGTGGTCCTCTAAAGTGGGATTTATAATCGAGCAGAGCGCTATCAGCTGTAGGACAACATGGAGGACGGTCGGCTGATATTTACTCAAGTCCGTGTTTTAAGATTTACTAACGTATCTATAGAGCGTCGGTGCGCCTGCTGTCTGTTCTACTGTGAAAGTTTTCTTTAGGTGAAATAAGTTTTTATTTTTCTTTAATCCAGCGTTGTTTTTTTAACTTGTTGCTGTGGTGAATGTTGTGTTTTGCGTGCGTTGCAGGAGAGTTTGTGAGGCTGGCGGAGCTGCCGTGCCTCGTTGACCTCGTGTTTGTTGGAAATCCTCTGGAGGAGAAACACTCGGCCGAGGGGACGTGGATGGACGAGGCCACGAAGAGACTCCCTAATCTGAAGAAACTGGACGGTACGAGTGTTTCAGAGCAGGAACGGATCATAGTGCCGAGCTGCAGCCTGCAACTGATCTCTTCTTCTGCATTATTCAGGAACTCCGGTCATCAAGCAGGAAGTGGATGAAGGAGAAGGAGAGAGCTGAGAGGCGTGAGCCCTGCGTTCCCTCAGAGTCTTCCTCTTTTTTTGAGTTTTCTGTGGTTTGTTACGGTGCTTTCTTTTATATGAACCATTTTTTAATGACAGCACAGACTTTGTTGTAGATCAACAAGCACAAGAATGTTTGTTTTAGAGTTTTTAAAGCTAATTTCCTAAAAGCTGTTTACAGCCTTTTACTGACCGACTGGGATTTTAAAGCTGATTGTTGTTAACTGTGACGGTGCAAGAGCATCAAATCCTCCGTGTTCTCAGACTGTTAGCATCACACCAGGTGTTTCTGGCTGTAAATACTGAACTCTGTGTTCCCTCCGTTCACATCACACTGGACTAAAACCAACTTTATAAAGTAGACACTACATCAGACAAGGAAAACTGCTCAGCAGTGGTGTCAGCAGCTGTTTGAGTAATAATAGAAGAAGACTAAATACTGGAAGAGTCACTAATGGTTAAATAGTTAACGCCACTTTTTAACGAGTGCTGCTCCCTGCAGAGCCTACCTCCCACCTCCCTGGACTCCAGCCTCTGAGGCTGAAAAATGGAGCTGTAGTTCCTCTAATGTCCACCAGAGGCTGTCTCCAAACGTGCTGCCTGCCTTTCATTGGTTACTGTGTGTGACCTGTAAATGACCCCTTTAGTGCCTGAGCTTAACCACTTCTGAAACTGCCACCCCTACAACCCACTAACGTTGAGGTCGTAGGTCTAAAAACGACTCACAGGGTTGATCGTGCATCAGAGGATGTCGATGTGGGAGTGTGAGGCTGGGCCAGGTGAGGCTCCGCCCACTGGCTCTGGAGTGAGCAACCTCTCAAATGTGTCAATCATAATCCAGCCAATAGTGGCGTCCTGCTGTGCACTGATATCAGCTGACCTCTTAGAAGTTGAGCTTCTGATGGGAAACAAAGGGAATATCTCTGTTTACGCTCTGCTGCTGCCTCAGATCAGCCTCCTCTGCTCGGTGTGTCACTCGGCGTGTGTCACTCGGCGTGTGTCACTCGGCGTGTGTCACTCGGCGTGTGTCCACCGCAGAGGCTGCAAAGCTTCACCAGACAAATCTGAAGAAGAAGAAGGTGTTTCCTGCTCGTTTATCCACCACTGTCTCTGTAACCTCATGTGTTTTAAGTTATTTCATGTTTGTACATTATTATGGTCCTTGGAATGATTTAATAAATATTGTTGATGTAACATGTCTTTACTCACAGCAGACAACAAACCTACGCCCAGAACATACCCAGTGCCCTGCACCTCCGATCAGCCTGTTAGTGGTGCTGTTTTGTTTCTGACTGCATCGTGAGCTCCTCTTCTCATCAGCCGTGATCAAAGTTTCACAGACCGTTCACTGGCAAACTGACAGCTTTAGCTTTAATGTCTGATTTAACTCATTTGGACTTCAACTTCAGCTCCAACGTGCAGAAATGCTCAGGCTGCGGTGCATCTGTGGAAGGTGTTTTATATGAATCCAATCAAATCACGAGAGGCTGTCACAGAATCAAAAACACACAGAAATACTAATTTCGTAGTATTCGAGCATTACTCAAAGCATACAGGCACTGAGGCAAATAATGCAACGATTATGAAGTGCAAAGCTGGATTTATGAAGTCAGCACAGAGACTTTGGGCTGTGAAACCACCTCACAGATGCTGATCGCTGACTACCTCTTCATTTCACGCTCTTGTGAGCAGCTGTGTCTTTCGGGGTGAGTCACAGCCTGCAAAACTGGCATCACAAAGGCATCTAACTGTTAATAACACTGGCAGCTACACCCGCTTTATAAACAAGGTTGCATGAGGTGAAAGTTTATCCACCACAGATCAAACTGCAGGTGCTGCCAGCGTCCACATGCAACTGAAGTCAGGGATGCATTTAAACTGGGAGGTGTGGTCCATGTTCAAAAGCAGACAGATATTTAAACAGCCGCACGTGCAGGATGGACGAACAGCCTCCCATCAGAAGTCTCATGAACACTGCTCAGCTTTGAAGTCACTGATGAAGTCCTGTGTGCTACATAAAGCTGCTTCTTTGTCTTTGGAAGATTATTATTGTTACTCATGACAGACACTAAAGTGTGAGCACAGTGTGACCTGATGTAACGTGACGTCCTTGAAAAGCCACAGTGTAAGACTGGCTTGGATGGTATCAGTGAAAAACAGTGTTTCATTTGTTTCTGTAGCTCAAGGACGAAGCTGCAAAAGAATGTGTCATACAAAGTTAACATATGTCCACTAAGACGAGAGAAAGTGTCTTTCTCAGCCTGAAAATCAGCTGTAATTCACTGTGCTGACACCGTGTGTCTGATTTTTAGAGCCAAATGTTTTAAAGACGTCTTAATTTAAAAGTAGAAAATTGCAGGTCGCCCAGGCCTTCATGTCTAAGACACACCTGTAGTTTCACCTGGCTTCATATATGACTGGTTCTACTGTATATAAAAATCGTGTTGAACACACACAGAGAGCAGCTCACTTTAATGACACGTTTATTCTTCGGTTACAGTCACACGGTTACAGAAGAACACGTCATTTATTTTATCCAAATATATAAAAATACATTTGAACGTACAAAATAATCAGAACCTGCTCCTGAGTTTACCTATAGCCCCATGCGCTGCCTCCAGCGCCATGGACAGGTTTTGGTTTGATGGTGCCGATGATCGAGATTCGATTCGGGTCCCAGACGCAATTCTCCTCCAGGCCGCTCTTCACCATCCCACAGCCGGGCGGCACCCAGGCGGTGTCGTAGCCACTGTATTGCCAGGTCTTCTGAAGTGGGTGGTTCTGATAGTTGATGATGATCACCCGTCCCACGTTGACCTTAACTTTAATGACAACTCTGTCATACTCAGGGTGATCAATGGGATAACGGCTTGCTTTGTCCAGGTCTCTGCTGAGGTAGACCCCCGGACCGAGCATCCCATCTTTAGACTGGCCAAAGCCCGTCATCAGGATTCTTTTAGCATTCGCACTGGTGGTGCCGTGGTACATGACGTAGGTTTTATTGTTTCTTGGCCCTTCACAATCCACTCGGATTACCCCTGGAGGCAGGAAGTCATCTTCAGCCCACTGGCAGTACATTTTTCTGATTTGGATATTGGTGTGATTGTCTCTGCAGGAAATCATGAGAACATCACAGCGTTAAGAACAAGAAGCCTGAACTTTAAAATAGAGAGTTAGTTATATTAATGGGGAGTTATCATAAGAAATCAGGTGATTTAAATGATTTTTACAGTATTTATAACTCATTATAAAATAACAGTGGTTAATCCTAAATACTTTCCAGTCCAGGCAGGTGTTGTGTTTCGTTGTGTTGCATCAGATCTGACGATATGAGATACATTTAATCTTTTTTGTATTATCTCTCAAATTGGGAATTATCACTTCATTATCAAAGTGGGCATGGACGCTCTGCTGGGTGCTGGGCTCCTGTTTCATGCCGCTCTCTCTCACACACTCACAAGAAAACTGTTGATTTATGTATCTGTGCATTTTCATGCTTTTGTGTTTCAGGTGCTGTATGTTTGTTTTTTCTGACAGGTGCAGCAGCTGGTGATACATCGTGCATTTCTATCTGTGCTCTGTCATGTTCTTATTTTCTCCCCTCTCCCCCCCTTTTTATTTCCTCAGATCTTTAAAAAGCAAACCGTATTTGGCACAACAGTGTGTTCAGATTATAGTTCTGACTGCAAAAGCTGACAGACAGGATAAAGTAAAAACAAACAAAGATAAACTTGCTGTGCCAAAGATGAGTGTCTGGCCTCAGAGGTCAGCGGCTCTTTCTGACTTAATTTGATTGTTATTAATGGAAAAATGAATATTTGAAGAAAAATAAACATGTAATAGAATAAGTTTGAACTGGCTCACTGTCCATGTAGCTGTGAAAGCCTGATGACGATGTTCTGTTTAATGTTCACGTTTATTTCAGAATCATCACCTCACTGAAAAGTTGTTTCACAATAAGTAGAATTTCAAACTCAGGTTTTCTGAATCACATTTCCTGCAGCCTCTCCCAGTTCTTTCACACAGTTGAAAAGTTCATCATTAAGTCCTGATAAAATTGGCATAAATCTGCTTTTATCAGTCGGAAAGTTCACAGCTGAGTGTAAATAGTAAATATGTCCTCATTCACACAGTACTGACAACGTTTACTGCAAACATTCAGACTTTTTAAGGAAATAAGAAGAAAAGTGTGTTTGCTGAGTCCACGTACCTCTCTGCAGGCTGGTCCAAAAATGGAGTCTGTGCCTCACTCTGCTTCTTTTTCAGGAGGAAATACCACAAACAGACATCGTCCTTTCAGTTTCGTTTCACGTGCTGTTAAGTCCTTCACTTTAGGTTATAGGCAGTATGTACTGGAGTACTTAGTGTGAGTTAGGTTTCACTCCTGCCATCCAGCAGCACACAGATCAGGGACTTTTTGGCAGAACAGGAATTTTGGTACTTTCCAGTTTTTCTCCATGATCGATTTAAGGTTTTAAAGGAAATTGGTCTCTTTGATATTTCTAATTTTATGCTCTTGCTCAGATGCAGATGAGCTCTACAGCAGGTTATCAAAAGACTCAAAAGGAAACAGGAAATTCCCGTCCACTCATTTTCCTGCTGTATTTGCAAAAGTTTCCATTGTCCTGCTGCAGACTGACTTATGTTTGCACAACATAAACCAGCTTACAGGGATACAGCTGACATATTTCCCATTATCAGTGTGACTCTAAGGATCAACATCATCACATTGATGTCCTTCTGTAGTGATGAGGGCTTGTGTGCAGAGACATCGACGCTGATCTCTTTGTGTTGTTTCATACGTCTCTTTTATCTTCCTGCAGTTAATTTGTTCCTCGTTGTGTTGCTTTGTAGCTTCTTGTGGTCGCTGAGCATCTTTTTAAAACTATATTTTTTCATTGTTTTGTGTGCACAGACATGTAAAAGGTGACCCAACACAGACTATGAGCACAGTTTGTGTTTGTGTCATTCTTCTGTCTGTTTGATACCATTGTGTATTTCCCGACTGTCATTTTTCCCTCTTTGCTTTTTTAGTGTTGATATTTTTACATCTTTGCGTGTTTTTAAATTTTGTACCTTTGCGGTTGTGATATTTTCTTTCGTTTTGTACATCTTTGGTCCTTTTGAATCTAACTGGTGTCACTTTATTGCTTTATTGTAATAACTGGAAACCCTGGTCAGTGGTCATTTTATTGTCCCCAATGGGAAATTGATTTGCAGCATGTCTACTCATCAAACAACTCAGACATTTAAGAAAAACAAACAGAACAGCCCAAGTTTTATCAAGAGCTGCAAGAAAGTGCCGTGTGTGACAGTGTTGGCAACAACAGTTATGGTTTAGTGTTGTTAAGCACGATAATAGCAGCAGGTATAAAGAACTATGTCTCGTGGTTTTCTCTGCAGGCACTTCACACCGATGACCTGAAGGAAGCAGCTGAAAATCTCTAAAGAGACGGTTTGTTTGAAACTTAACATGACAGAGGTCGCCTTCCTCAGCACCTGCCTGTTATAAAAGTCCAAAAGCTGGACCTGAGACCTCCCTGAAGTCTGACCAGCCACTTTAACCAGGTTACCCAGTCCGGTCTTATTGGTCAGTGTCATGGTCCCTGTGTCTACACTTTATTTTTTGAGTGTGTCTCCTGATTAAGAACACTGAGTAATGCCTGCTGTCATATTCAGGGGGCGCTGTGGCTCCACAGTAATCACTGCCACATGGATGAACTTGTTGATCACTCACAGGCTCTTTATGAATCTACTCATTAATATTATGTTATTCATTTATTCTGTGTTTACACAGAATAAATCAGAAATACGTCTGATCGCATCCACACAGCAGCTGTTTCACTTTCAGCACATTCAGCAGGAAATAAAATAATGGATGCTCCGTTAATTCAATTCAATTCAATTTTATTTATATAGCGCCAAATCACAACAAAAGTCGCCTCAAGGCGCTTTATATTGTACAGTAGATACAGAGAAAAACCCAACAATCATATGACCCCCTATGAGCAGCACTTTGGCGACAGTGGGAAGGAAAAACTCCCTTTTAACAGGAAGAAACCTCCAGCAGAACCAGGCTCAGGGAGGGGCGGGGCCATCTGCTGCGACCGGTTGGGGTGAGAGAAGGAAGACAGGATAAAGACATGCTGTGGAAGAGAGACAGAGGTTAATAACAGATATGATTCAATGCAGAGAGGTCTGTTAACACATAGTGAGTGAGAAAGGTGACTGGAAAGGAAAAACTCAATGCATCATGGGAATCCCCGGCAGCCTACGTCTATTGCAGCATAACTAAGGGAGGATTCAGGGTCACCTGGTCCAGCCCTAACTATATGCTTTAGCAAAAAGGAAAGTTTGAAGCCTAATCTTGAAAGTAGAGATAGTGTCTGTCTCCTGAATCCAAACTGGAAGCTGGTTCCACAGAAGAGGGGCCTGAAAACTGAAGGCTCTGCCTCCCATTCTACTTTTAAATACTCTAGGAACAACAAGTAGGCCTGCAGAGCGAGAGCGAAGTGCTCTAATAGGGTGATATGGTACTACAAGGTCATTAAGATAAGATGGGGCCTGATTATTTAAGACCTTGTATGTGAGGAGCAGGATTTTGAATTCTGGATTTAACAGGAAGCCAAAACAGGAGAAATCTGCTCTCTTTCTAGTCCCTGTCAGGACTCTTGCTGCAGCATTTTGGATCAGCTGAAGGCTTTTCAGGGAGTTTTTAGGACATCCTGATAATAATGAATTACAGTCGTCCAGCCTGGAAGTAATAAATGCATGAACTAGTTTTTCAGCATCACTCTGAGACAGGATATTTCTAATTTTAGAGATGTTGCACAAATGGAAGAACGCAGTCTTACATATTTGTTTAATATGTGCGTTGAAGGACATGTCCTGGTCAACACATCAAATCACTTTTATTGTCACATCACATGTGGAGGTACACTGGTACAGTACATGTGAGTGAAATTCTTGTGTGCGAGATGTTTGAACTGAGACGTTTTACTGTTTAATAAAAAAACTAATAACTCATTTTGAATTTGATGACAATGACACATCTAAAAACAACTGGGATGGAGGAAACAAAGGCCTGGAAAAATGAATGGTGCTAAAGAGAAACTACAAGAGCCACAGTTTGCAACCGGCCAGCAACATGACTGATATAAGAAGCTGAGAGTTGCAGTGGATCTAAGGAGCAGATTTGCTGGTTCATTTAAAAAAATGTGGCCATTAGGGGGCATCAGGTAGAATGAAACTCCTTTATTGAAATTAAGCGAAAATAAAACTTCTGCTCTTGTTTCTAAGAAGTATTGTGTGGTTCTGTAACACGGAATAAATGACATAATAAACAGAATGTTGTCTGCTGTGTAATATGAAATGTGACGGTAATGTGAAATATATATAACTTTGTGAAACGTCAGCATTTACAATGTACTAAACTGTCTGATGACGGCATTATAACAAACCAGAGGTAGCAAAAGTACAAGTTTTATTTACGTAAGTAGGAGTAGAGACCCGGGTTCAACTTCTTTACTCAAGTAAAAGTAACAACGTACCAGCTCTGAAATGTACTCAAAGTAAGAAAGTAAAAGTAGCTTCTTGAAGAGCATTTCTACTGTACAAAGGTACCTAAGTCCTGTGTTATATTAATATAATATCAAACAATATTGGTATATGAGTTAGTACAACTGAATTCAACAAGATGTCAGCAGATGTTTCACAGCTGTCTTGGCTGATGTCCATTTCCTGCTCTGACATCATGCTTTATACTGTGTATATATACAGTATGCAGTTGGTATAAAGTTGGAATTCAGTGAATTAATCAGCTTAAATGCAAATTCTTCTGCGCTACACTTGAAGTAACCTAAATCTGACCATGAGCACCAGAGCCACTGTGCACCAGCACAACAGTGTTTTACTTTGAATTCTCAACATTAAAGCAAACTAACCTGTTTGTCCTGCACAAAACTGCTCTGTGTTTTCATGCAACATTTGAACAATACAAAGTCAGTATAGCTTAGTTAGTTTCACAGGACAAGATATAAAAATCTGAATTTTTCAAAACACATCATATACAAATCCAATGTGATTAATATTATGACATTCCATGTAAGCTTTAAATCTGCACTTTATCAAGTGCAGTCCGTACCTTTAAATCCAACCCCTCTTCTTCACACACACTGTGAGACAAACTGCACACAAACAGTAAACAGTTTGTGTGTTTGCTGATGTTTGATGAGCTGATAGAACATTTAAAAAAAGTCACTCCCTTTATGCTCGCTGCTCTTATAGTAAAGCTGGATGCCACCAGCAGTCTCCTCAGGCAGTTTTGATTGGCTGTCATTTAACAGCAGATTTTGCCTATGGGAGGAGGCTGCCCTTCATCTCATAAAGATTCATAGAAGTAAATATGTGCAGGGGTTCATCAATCTCCACAAGGAACAGAAAGTGTCTGCAAGTTGCAGAGCTGTTTTTAAAATAATCCTCCTCAATCTAAACCTGTGAATACTTTGAATATGTCATCATGTGCAGTACACATATCATCAGAAGAGTCAGAGAAATCCTGGATGCAGGAAAGACCTGTGAAAAACATCTTTGGCAGGATTTGAGAAGCACTCAGACTTTAAATTCAGGATTATTTGACTCTGATAAGATTAAAGCTGAGACTTGGCACTTTAACACTATCTCTACTTTTAAGATTAGGCTTCAAACTTTCCTCTTTGCTAAAGCATATAGTTAGGGCTGGACCAGGTGACCCTGAATCCTCCCTTAGTTATGCTGCAATAGATGTAGGCTGCCGGGGATTCCCATGATGCATTGAGTTTTTCCTTTCCAGTCACCTTTCTCACTCACTATGTGTTAACTGACCTCTCTGCATTGAATCATATCTGTTATTAACCTCTGTCTCTCTTCCACAGCATGTCTTTATCCTGTCTTCCTTCTCTCACCCCAACCGGTCGCAGCAGATGGCCCCGCCCCTCCCTGAGCCTGGTTCTGCTGGAGGTTTCTTCCTGTTAAAAGGGAGTTTTTCCTTCCCACTGTCGCCAAAGTGCTGCTCACAGGGGGTCATATGATTGTTGGGTTTTTCTCTGTATCTATGAAGCGCCTTGAGGCGACTTTTGTTGTGATTTGGCGCTATATAAATAAAATTGAATTGAATTGAATTGAATTGTTTTTTATGCATAAACATATAGAATAATGAATGATTTACATATGAATACAAACACACCCACATAGTAAGTACTTTTTATGACACATTTATTTTTCAGGTTACAAATTATGTCATTTTATGATTTCTTATCCAAATATATAAAAATACATTTGAACGTACAAAATAATCAGAACCTGCTCCTGAGTTTACCTATAGCCCCATGCGCTGCCTCCAGCACCCTGGACAGGTTTTGGTTTGATGGTGTCAATAATTGTGATTCGCTTGGGATCCCAGACGCAATTCTCCTCCAGGCCGCTCTTCACCATCCCACAGTTGGGCGGCACCCAAGCAGTGTCGTATCCGTGGTCATGCCAGGTCTTCTGAAGTGGGTGGTTCTGACGATCTATGGCTTTAACCTTTCCCACGTTGACCCTAACCCTAATGACAACCCTGTCATCCTCAGGATGATCGATGGGATAGCGACTCGCTTTATCCAGGTCTCTGCTGAGGTAGACCCCCGGACCGAGCATCCCGCCCGAAGACTGGCGAAAACCTGAAGCCAAGATCAATCGGGCGTTCGCACTGGTGGTGCCGTGGTACATGACGTAGGTTACACCATCTTCTGGCCCTTTACGGTCAACTCGAGCTACCCCAACAGGAAGACCGTCATCTTCAACCCAGTTAAAGCTCATTTTTCAGATCCAGATGTTGGTGTCAGTGTCCCTGCAGGAGAAAAAGGGTTACTGACCTGAGGACATCAATGTAAATAGGACAAAACAGATAAGATTAGCTATAAAATTAAGAATTTTCCTCAGTGAACGTCCACACAAATTCACCCCATGTGACTCTACAGGCCTGAGTTAGCATGTTAAAGGTTAAAGTTCATGACAGTACAATTAGAAAAAGAGGACGAAGCCTCTTCTCTCTAAAAACAAACAACATTTATGTCTTTGGTTTTCAATATGTTGAGCTGGAGATCAGTGATCAGGGCTCAACAACAAATCCGTGGCTGGTTTTGCTGCCGTGCAAAAGACCAACAATAACCGTGTTATTTGCATACGTTCAAATGGTTTTACTGTCAGATGTCCTCCGACACAGGTTTGTGTACAGAATCACCAACAGGGACAGAACATCCTTCTGCTGAACCAGTCGATGTCACAACCTGCTCAGACAGAACACTGTTTGCTCTCTGGGTCCTGTAAGTTAGGACGTCATCCAGAAAGATTTTTACTCGAGTCACACTGATCAAAAAGCCTGTGCATTAAAAGCTGTGCTTGAATCTTATCAAGTGCAGAATAAATGACAGTCTGACCTCTGACCCCTCAAAAAGCTCCTGAATGATAGAGTGTAGTTAGATTTCCACACTGTGCAGTTTCACTTAATTTTCTGTTCATCTGAGGCTATAAATCATTTTAGAACCTGCTAAGAACCAAATTACTTTGATTAACTCAAAGTAAAAATACAAATAAATTTAAAAGAGCGTGACATTAAAGTTGAGCAGCTGATACCAAAATAAGTCTGGGGACAATCATACATTTTCAAATGACAGTTTTCGAACACTGAACTCATTGAAACGTTTGCCATTAAGTACAATTTAAAACTAGCTCAGGTTTGCTAAGTTACATTTTTCTGCAGCTTCTCACTGGTCACTGGCACATAAATCTGCTTTTATTAGTCAGGAAGTTCACAGCAGAGTCTAAATATGTCCTCATACACACAGAACTGACAACGTTCACTGTAAACATTCAGACTTTGTTTGAGTCCACGTACCTCTCAGCAGGTTGGTCCAAGAATGGAGTCCGTGCCTCACTCTGCTTCTTTTAACAGTAGACGTCCTTCTTTCAGTTTTGTTTCATGTGCTGTTGCTCGTCCTTGTCTTTAGGTTACAGACAATCTGTACTAGGTGTGGTCAGTGTGTGAGTTCGGTTTCACTCCTGCCACCCAGCAACACACAGATCAGGTGTTTTCAGCCAGAATGAAACGTTTGGCACTTTCCAATTTTCCTCCATAAAAGTTTTGTGATATTAAAGGAAATTTGTCTCCTTAATATTTATAATTTTATGCTCTTGTTCAGATGCAGATGAGTTACATAACAGGTTATCAAAAGAAACACGTAACAGGAAATTCCCGTCCAGTCAGATTCCTGCTGTATTTGCAAATGTTTCCGTTGTTCTGCTGCAGACTGACTTTCGTTTGGACCAGTGAAAGTTTACGGGAATTTGGCTGATATATTTCCCGTATAGCGAGCTCCTGCTGTGGCTCTAAGGCTTCTGCTAACTTTGCATTTATGTAAAGCTGCAGATGCTGAAAATGACGGCCTGAATCTATTATTACACTAAATTGGCTTCTCTCAAAATATAAAAGAGCCCATCAGTGTCTTTAGTCACACATTTGCTAGCATAGGTAGCATAGAAACTGAACATTAAACAGTCTTCTTTTGTCTTTTCATTACTTAAATTTACGATAATGAGTTATACAGCTGTGGGGTATACAGTTCATTACAGCAGACGTCTTTCTGAAAGTGCTGTAACTAATAACCCTTTCCCACTACCACCTACTCGAGTCGGCTCTGCACACCTCGACTCCTTTTTGGGGTTTTCTATTAGGTGGTGGTGCCTGGTACCTGTTAGTACCTACTCGGCTGGGGATCCAGGTGATACGAAAATGTGATGTCACCAGACGGCATGTCACCGATTGGCTAGTCAGTGGTGTCACTCGATGAGTCTTGAGAGCTTCTCCTTTGCAAAAATCTAAACCGCCATTTTGAACCTGGCAACGAGGGAAATGTGTACAGAAAAAAACAACACTGTGGCCCCCGAGTCCGACACAAAGGCCCAGACTGAGCAGCAGGTTTACCATCACCTCAACGTGCTGTTGTGGCGTTCATGTCGCACAGAAATTACATCAACATGACCGGAACCGAGTTAAGTCAAGTTGAGCCAAGTAGGTACTAGTGAAAAAGATCTATAAGTTTAATTCAGATCAAACTGAGGTTATTGTACTCGGCCCTGAAAAGCTTAGAAATATGGTATCTAACCAGATTCTTACTCTGGATGGCATTACCTTGGCCTCCAATAACGCTGTGAGGAACCTTGGAGTCATTTTTGACCAGGACATGTCCTTCAACGCACATATTAACCCCTGGAGGGTCCTAGAAAAATGCATACACTATCGGACCTAGAGCCACAAATCGACCCAAGACTCTCCAGGGGTTAAACAAATATGTAAGACTGCTTTCTTCCATTTGTGCAACATCTCTAAAGTTAGAAATATCCTGTCTCAGAGTGACGCTGAAAAACTAGTTCATGCATTTATTACTTCCAGGCTGGACGACTGTAATTCATTATTATCAGGAAGTCCTAAAAACTCCCTGAAAAGCCTTCAGCTGATCCAAAATGCTGCAGCAAGAGTCCTGACAGGGACTAGAAAGAGAGAGCAGATTTCTCCTGTTTTGGCTTCCCTTCATTGGCTGCTCCTCACATACAACCTCATGTATCAATCTCACCTGATGAATTACGTAATCAACTAAAAAAATGCTCTAAGTTCCCTTCAAGGTGGTCTAGGTGAGGAAGACCAATGTAACCTGGAACAAAGAAAGGGTGTTTCACTCTGCTCTGTTTAAAAAGAAACATCCTTCTTTCAGTTTTGTTTCACGTGCTGTTGTTAAGTCACTTTAGGACCACACCCAGTAAATATTGACTTAACAACAGCACGTGAAACAAAACTGAAAGATGGATGTCTCAGAGTGGTTTGAAATGAAGTTTATTAAACTGGAACTCAAAAATGGATTTAAAAGTGCAGAATTTATTCTACAAATTATTATTTAAGCACAGAATTCTTTGTTTTGATGCGCGTGGCTCTTGACTCCATAGTCAGTGTGTGAATTAGGCTTCACTCCTGCCACACAGCAACATACAGATCAGGTGTTTTCAGGCAGAATGAGACTTTTGGTATTTACCATTGTACCTCCATAAACTATTTAGAACAAACAGAGGGTGGAAGGGAATAAATAACTCACCTGTGTGTTTGTTCTGTTGCTTAACAATAAGCTACCTGTCATGTTGTTGAACCTGTTGTAAATCCATGTTTAACTTTTTCTGTTGCAGCTTTCTTTGTCTTTCACTTTCAGGCAGACTGGATGTGTCGGTTAAGAGTGGCAGACTCATTGTTTTACTTTCCCCAAGAGGGCACACAGATTTACTTTGTTTTGTTGTTGTTTTTGTGATTGGTAACTTTGTCCTGTTGTTGGCAGACCAGGCGTGTGATCAGTCATATGATGTGTACACTGCTTCTTTATTTGATTGTGCTTTATAGGTGGACTGGGAAACCCTGGGTCAGTGTATAGAGCTGATAACAATGGTCAGTGATCATTTTATTGTCCCCAATGGGAAATTGATTTGCAGCATGTCCACTCATCAAACAACAAAGACATTTGAGAAACAAACAAACAGAACAGCCCAAGTTTTATCAAGAGCTACAAGAAAGTCCCATCTTCTAGTTCGCAGTGATCGGTTGCATCACTGGAGGGGACGAAGCCGCTTATAGGAGAGAGGTGGCCTGTCTGATGTCATGGTGTGAGGACAACATCTTCACCCTCAACACTGACAAGACAAAGAAGATGATAGTGGACACGAGGAAGAAGAGGAGGCCTCACCAGCTGCTGTTTATCCAGGGCCTTGAAGTGCAGAGGGTGAGCAGCTTTAGGTACCTGGGCGTCTACATCAGTGAGGACCTCACCTGGTCACTGAACACCACACAGCTGGTCAAGAAGGCTCAGCAGCGGCTGTATTTCCTGAGGAAATTTGGTATGTTGGCCAAGATCCTCAGCAGCTTCTACAGCTGCACTGTGGAGAGCACACTGACCAGCTGCAGCACTGCTGCTATGGACCAAACACCTGCAGAGAGTGATAACAACTGCGGAGAAGGTCATCAGGACCCCGCTGCCCTCTCTGCAGAGCATCAACCATCGCAGAGTCCAGAGGAGAGCTGCCTCCATCCTCAAAGACCCCACACACCCCCAACA